ACACACGTGGCCAGTACGCCCATTCCGGTTGTTAAGCTTAGCACTCCAAATTACTCCACATTTCTCGCACTTTTTGGAATTATTGCAAAAGTTAGATGTGAGATGATGGGTGTAGCAGTCCTGATTATTAAATTCCTTAGAGCACCCGGAGCAATGCTTGGAGTAGTTATTCAAAGGTTGGCATGGGTAGTTGGGGCCAATCCGGGAGCAATTTTGACACTTTGCTAAGCAGGATGTAGAATGGTCGCTTTGACGATGATAGATCTTTTCACACGATAGGCAATAAGCTTCACCGAATAAATCAGATGCCCTTCGTACCCCGTCAAAATGTTGATTTTTGTGATAAAGAAGAATTGGGGTATTGAATTTTTCTGTCCCATATTTAAAAATTGGTTTCTCATCCAATTCTCCAAAAATAAAAACTTTAATCAGGCCTTGATTCGTTGAATTCCAATAATCAACCACCTTTGGAACCCACTCCTGCGCATCATAAGTAGTCAGATCAAAAGGAGCTCTTACATTTTTCATTAGCTTTTTGACATCCTCATCGAGTCGACGAATACCTTTTCTGTTGTGTATATAGTCATAGAATTTTTGTTTTGTCCAAGAACATATTGAATAAACGAAAGAAGCCATTAGGGCATGAAATAGGCAAAAGTTGTCGGAATTCCGGATCTTAATCAACGCTTTGTCTCTGATCCGACGAGTAGATTTACCACCACTTCCGTTGATGACACGTGCTGTAGGTAGATGCTTCTTATCAATGGTGGTAACTGAGACTGTAAAGGGTTCCCCCCAAAGCATTCCATTATCCTGTTTCTTGGATTGCGCCACCTTTAGGAATTGATTAATTATGGCGTCGATAGTGTTGTTGCTGATTTCCCTAATGGGGATCCAAATATCAGTTTCTAATAATTGACTGCTGACAATACACCCGAGTTGATCGGGCTCAAGATGATGTTCACGACTTGTAGATATTGTTTTGTCGATACAGGTTTGGAATATTTCCTGGAGTAAGGTTTCAGGATTAGGGGGTAGTTTGTTAATCAAGAATTTTGTAGTCAGCTTGGTCATGTTAAATTTGCGGGTGATCTTGGTTTCTTCACCCAAATGTTTTAAAAAATAACCTCCTCCTGATTGCAAATCAAGTAAATTGTTGATCAGGAACATCCTTGATTTTTTTGATGGTGGAGGAGCCATTGTTCAATAATATAATAAAAATAGAGAACTAATTCAAATTATCAAATTTGTAAAAATTTTTAAGAATGAAGAAGGAAATGCAAAATCCCCTACTTTTAAGGATGCAAAAATGATGGATGTTTGGTTGAATAGGAATTTCTTTCCATTTTACTTTTATTTACAGTCAAGAATAGGAGTTGAAGAAATTTAACAGAAGAGTAATTGAAGAGGAAAGAATTTCGTAATACTTAAACTTTATTTCCAGTCCTTATATTTTCAACCTTAAGTCTCTTGGGAGTTGTAAAGGGAGTCGAATGGTTTAAAATTTAAAAGAATTTAATGGAAGGAATTTGCATTAAAATTCCAAAAAGGAAAAAGAATTTGGTAATATTAAAAATTTGCATAAAAAGAATTTTTGCTCTTATTTCTAGCGGCTAAAGATAAATCTGTATAAAGTAAAAGAATTTTAGAGGGAAAATATTTTGAAATAAAAAAGGTAAATTTGAAATATTAAGTTTAGGTGTAAACGACGAGACGACGTGTAATTGATGTATATCTTTTAAATTTTTAATTTAATTGTTTATTTATTTTTTAAATATTTATTTTTCCATTCATTTACTTTTATTTTCCTATTACAGTATTTTTTTCGTTATTTTTGGGTAATTAATATATAGAGAGCTATTATTTAATTAATATATTTTAAATAGATTTTTAATTAATTTTTTATTTATTAATCCATTTTTTATAATATTTCTTTCTTTAATTGTCCTTTTTTGCATTTTTTCTTACTACGGTAGTCTTTTAGTTACACCCTCATTTAATACCCATTATTTTTTTAAAAGAAAAATTACGCAATCTTTTGGAATGAAAAGAATGTGTGGGAAATTTGCATAATTTGGGGGGATATCAAAATGTTTAGACGGGAAAAACACAAGAAAAACCCTATAGGTTTTGGTTATTGAGGTGGGTGGAGGAAGGAGAAAGAAGGAAAAGCTTCAAAAGCTTTTGGTTAGTGGGGTGGGTGAAGAAAGCAAAAAAGCTTCAATAGCTTTTGGTTTGTGGGGTGGGTGGGGTAAGGGAAGCTTCAATAGCTTTTATTGTGGAGGGATAACAAAAGAGAGAAGAAAAGCCTCAAAGGCTTTTGGTTAGTGGGGTGGGTGGGGGAAGGAAAAAGAGATGCCCTCACACCTTTTGATTGATTAACTGTTTAAATTTTTGACAGGCGACTTGGGGGTCGGTCTAACTACTCCCCCATTAATTAAGATACCATTAAGATACTTTTAAACTTCAATTGGGCATTGACTTGCAGGGCTACCTAACGCTACTCTCTATTTAGGATACACCTCTATTGTAAATATAAATATTTCATTCCTAAGGTCTATCTTAATTGAGGTACATTTCTACTAAATTTGAATCATTTTTATTCTTTTAAACAGTCAATCAAAAATATTATTTTTATCTACAATGGGTTCTACCTCTCAGATTTTTTTATTATTTTTTCCCTTAGAGTACTCTAAATATACAAACAAAAAATATTTTTAAAAGACAAAAATCCATGTATTCCTTTCTTAACAATTTCAAAATAAATTTTTAAAAAATAAGAAAATAAATAAAAGACAGTCCTTTTAAAGAAAAAAAATAAATTTTAGAGGCACTTTAGATGAAGATCTAAATAGTTAAAAATATGTAAGTATTTTTCGCAAATCATTATAGTAAAACTTTAAAAACACCCATTGTTTGTTTATTTGTTCTTTTGTATTTTCTCTTTTTATTTTTTAAATCGCGCACTTTAATTTATCTATTCAACCTGAGAAATTAAAAAAAATATTTTTGATAAAAACATGAATCGAATAAATTTATTTTAAAAATAATTTTCCTGAAATATTAGAATTATTGATGTTTTACGGAAAATCAGAATTATTTAATAATGTATTTTTCCGGAAATAATACAAAATTTGTTCAGATGTTTTATCTTAAAATAGGTTTATTGTGTTTTTCCGGAATATATAGAACTATAATGTTTTCCGGAAACAATATTATGGATATTTTCCGGAAAATAGAATATGAATGTTTTCCGGAAAATATAATAAATGTTTCCGGAAAAAATATCGTTGATGTTTTCCGGAATATAGAATATGAATGTTTTCCGGAAAAAATAACATTGATATTTTCCGGAATATATAGAACTATAAATGTTTCCGGAAAAATATTATGTATGTTTTCCGGAAAAAATAATATTCATGTTTTCCGGAATATATACATAGAACTATGAATGTTTTTCGGAAATAATAAATTTTTTTGATGTTCTTTCCGGAAAGACAATAATTGTTACCTTTCTCCTTTCCGGAAAGTTAGAATTATAAAACAATTATAAACATTTTTTTATTTTTTGTCTGATGTTTTGTTTAAATTCCGGAATTGTTTAAATTTTTGTTTGTTAAAAATGTTTTGAATTTCACAAACTTTGCAATAAACAGTAGACGCTGTCTTCAATTAAAAAAAAGAAAATGTTTTTAATTTGCATTGTCTTTTCCCCAAAAATGGAATACTTTTTTGTAGGGAACGTCTTTCCTGCTTAATTTTATATTCACATTTCTTCACTCTTTCTAGGCCCAAAATAATTAATGAAAAAAGCCTCCGAACCTAAAAATATTTTTTTTTCTTTTTAATTTTTTGTCAGTCCTCAGCTGTTTGGGGGTAATTTTCCTTTCTTTTATTCACATTAAAATCAATTTCATTCCGTTTAAAATTAATTATCATTTAAAAGATGTGAAGGTGAGGAGGGGACAAGAGATAAGCGGCAACAATAATGCATTTGTTTTTTTTATATTTTTGTCATTTACACTTTAAGGAACATTTGTTTGATCATGTAAAGCCATTAATTTTGTAAAGCCATTACTTTTATTTAATTGCGTGACTAAATTGTTAGACATTTTTTAAAACAAGTTTGTTTCTGAAACTATAAGGAAGTAATAATATTTTTCCGGAAGAATAGAATATTACATGTTTTTTCCGGAAATATTAAATTTATTTTCTTTCCGGAACTTGTTTTAGCTACGTATATTTATTAACTATTTTTCTTTCCGGAAAAATAATATATATTTCCGGAAGAATAGAATATTACATGTTTTTTCCGGAAATATTAAATTACTTTTCTTTCCGGAAACCTGTGTATTACTTATATATGTACATTATTGATGTTCTTCCGGAAAATTAATTATTTTAGAAGTTATAATTTTCCGGAAAATGTATACTACTATATTTATTATTTTTTTTCCGGAAAATTAATATAAGTATTTAAAAAACATTGATGTTTTTCCGGAAGATCTAAATGTTTTCTAAATCATAAAATCAATTGTTTTTTTCCGGAAATAGTTTAACTATAATTATTAGTCAATGCATTATTAATATTTTTCCGGAAAACTATAATTATAGATGTTTTCCGGAAATATACATTATGTTTATTTTCTTCCGGAAAATTATTTAATAAACATTGATGTTTTTCCGGAATATCTATTAATTTTCTTTCCGGAAGAATATTATATTCTATACTTGATGTTTTTCCTGAAGAAATTAGATGTTTTGATTTAGATTAGACATTAGATGTTTTTCTACATATTAAATTTATTGTTTCTTTCCGGAAAATGTTTTATATCTATAATTTTCTTTCCGGAATAATATTATAGTATAATTGATGTTTTTCCGGAAGACTAAAATACTTGATGTTTTTCTAACTACTATTAAATTTATTGTTTCTTTCCGGAAAATTCCAATCTAAATTTAAAACTTTAAATGTTTAGATAAAATCCATAAAATTTTGAATGGCCAAAAAATGGTTTTCAAGAGCTAGACAAAGTCACGAATTGGTACCGAGCAGCGAGGAGCCCCAACAACAACAGAGCCTTCAACCTGTTGAAACTAAAACCCTGAGAGAAGGAACACAAAAAAGTGATGCAAATGGGGATGATGCTTTATTGCACGATTCACACCCTCAAAAAGGGAAACGAAAACTTTCTGTATTGGGGCATGAACTTTTTGATAGAGGGCAATGGAGTGGTAAAATAAAATTTTTGAAAAACAGTTCTTTAAAAATAAATACCTATTAGGTCAATTCGATTTTTTAATGAGTATGATTGCATATGCCGTTGGATTAGGTGGGAGAAAATAAAAAATTTCAAAATTTATTTAAAAAATAGGCAATGTTTGGCGATTCCCCTATTTATGCTTTAAAAACGGAGGAGGCTCTTTTCTTGTTGTTTATGCTTTGTTTTTTGTCTTTGGAGCCGTGCCTATTTTTATAATGGAAGTGACAGTCGGTCAATATTTACAAAGGGGTAAATCTGTTCCTATATTAAATATGAATGAGTTTTGAATAATTTTAAGGTGCTATGGAAATGTGGAAAATGTGTCCTATTTTTAAAGGTAAAGAGAAATAGATTGTTTGAGTGTATGTTTGGAGTGTTATGTTTTCCGGAAAACAACTATATTGTCTTTCCGGAAAGCTAATATTAATGTTTTTCCTGAATATTATCTGTTTTTCCTTTCCGGAGAAACATGCAAATGTTTCCTGCCGGAAAAGTAGATTATGTTTTTCCGGAAAAACAATTAGTGTTTCTTTCCGGAAAAAACTTAGCTTTTCCGGAAAAACTTAGCTGTTAATGTTCTTCCTGAAAATTATTTGTTTTTCCTTTCCGGAAAAACAAATATACAAATGTTTCCTGCCGGAAAAGTAGATTATATTTGTTTCCGGAAAAACAGTTATAAAGTGTTTCTTTCCGGAAAAATAATTATTAAATGTCTCCTTTCCGGAAAACAATTATTAAATGTTTGTTTCCGGAAAAATAAATAATATTGTTTCTTTTTCGAAAAACTTAGCTGTCTATGTTTTTCCGGAAAATTATAATTTTTCTTTAGGTGTTGGAATCGGCAATGTTGTGATTGCTTTTATGTGTAAGTTTTGTAAGATGTTTTTTAATCTTTACATTAATGTTTTCAGGTATTGCCTATTTTTGTGTTATTGTCTCTTGGGCTACTTTTTATATGATTAGTTCATTTAACTCTACATTTCCCTGTAAATTTTTATTTTCTTAAATTTTCATAAATATTCTCTAAAAAGGGGAAACTTGCAACAATTATTGGAACAACGGCCAGTGTGTTACAGGCAAAGAATCCACTTCAGAAATTATGCGGATTACTTCTAATCTTTCCCGCTATGGTTTAAGCATCGAAAGTTCTGTTGAGCAGTATTGGGAGTGAATTTATTAAATTTTTTTGAGAGAAAAATTTTTAAAATTTTTTTGAAATTTTTTGGAAAATTTTTTGGAAAAATTTTTGAAAATTTTTGAAAAAAATTTTCAAAAAATTCTAAAAAAAAATTTCTGAAAAAATTTTATTAAAGACGCCGTGTTCTTAAACAAACAGCAACAATTTCTGACATTGGAGGTATTCAATGGGAATTGCTTGGATTAATGTTTCTTTCATGGGTGATAGTTTATTTTGCTTTGTGGAAGGGGATAACGCAAGCAAGGAAGTTTGTCTATTTCTGTGCGATATTCCCCTATTTTCTTATTGTTGTATTGCTTATACGAGGACTGACTTTGCCTGGTGCTATGACTGGCATTTCTTTTTATTTGACTCCGAATCTCACAAAATTGACTGAAACTACTGGTTAGGTTTAATTAAATACAGTGTGGAGCTCGTTTATACGTCACCCCTCATACACAAAAATTGACTTTTAAGTAGGGTTCTTGGCGAAGACCGAGGACCGGTCGAACCGAGACCGGTATTGGAAAATTGGCGAGGACCTCGGTCTCGGCGAGGTGGGATCCCACTTCCAAGTCGGCTGACGTATAAACGAGATCCGACCGTAACTAACCTTCAAAAAATTAATTTTATTAAAGTTTGGAAGGATGCTGGCACTCAAGTATTTTATAGTTATGGTGTTGGCTTTGGAACACTCATTGCACTAGGATCCCACAATAAATTTACTCATAATTGTTATCGGTAGGGAAAATTAATTAATTTTATTTAATTATTGTTTGCGTAAAGGGATGCTATAGTTATGTGCTTTATTAATGGAATGACCTCAATCCTTGCTGGATTTGCTATTTTCTCAATTCTGGGATTTATGTCGACGGTGGCTGCTAAACCTATAGCAGAAATTGTTAAGCCTGGTAAGGTTCTTAATTAATTTAATTTTAAGCTTGAACTTATTTTTATAACTCAAGTTTCCAAGTTTAAGTTAATTCAAGTTTATTTTGTGTTTAAGCTCCTACGTTTTTATTACAAGTTTTAAAGTTTATTTAATCAAGTTGTAAAAACTTTATTTAATGTTTAATTTAAGTTTATTTTTAAGTTTAAGCTTATTTTTATAAATTTTCAAGTTTAAGTAATTATTTTCAAGTTTGTTTTATTCTTAAGTTTACAAACTTAAGTTTATTTAGTTCAAGTTTATTTTTTAAATAAGTTTTATTAAATCTAAACTTAAGTTTGCCCATTAATTCAAGTTTATTTTTCATGTTTTTTAAGTTTGAGCTTATTTTTAAGTTTTCAAGTTCAAGCTTGCCCATTAATTCAAGTTTATTTATAATGCAAGCTTATTTTTAAAGTAACCTTATTTTCATAGTAGTTCATTATTTTTATAGGTGTTGGTCTTGCCTTTCTAGCCTACCCAGAAGTGGCTAGCAATTTGCCTTTGAAACAACTTTGGGCATTTCTCTTCTTTCTAATGATTACAATTCTAGGCCTGGACAGCCAAGTAATCCTTCCATTCTTTTATTTTTTATTTCGAATTTAAGGTGTGTATGCTCGAAGGTTTATTTACTGCATTAGAAGACACATTCCCTACCCTTTTACGAAAATACAAAAAAGTTTTTTAGAAAAATTTTTTCAAAAATTTTTTTTACTTCGAAGATCTCCCTATTACTTACTTGCCTTTTCTTTTTTATAATTGGAATTCCTATGGTCACATATGCCGGTGCTCACTGGCTTACGTTGGTAGATGCATATGGGGCTTCTGGCATTGCTCTACTTTTTGTAGTTTTCTTTGAGGTGGTTGGACTTGCCTGGGGATTTGGTGAGAAAATATCTTATAGTTGTGTTATTGTTTTCTGCAACCAAAGATTTAGTGTTCTTTCCGGAAAACTATTTTCTTCCCAAAATATAAAATGTTTTCCGGAAAATAATAATAGCTGTTTTTTCCGGTAAACATAATTTTTCATTCCGGCAAAATTGTTTCTTTTCGTGTTTCTCCGGAAACTAATTTTAATTCCTTTCCGGAATATTATTAAATAACTTTTTCCGTAACTTTTTCCGGAAAGCAGAGTTGGTTTTATTTCCTGAAAAATGAATATTATTATATATTCCTTCCGGAAAATACATAATGGAACTTTCCGGAAACCCGATATTAACTTATTTTTTTGTTCCTTTCCGGAATAATCAATAAGTTTTCCGGAAAAAATGTTTTCCGGAAAGCAAACAATAATATTTGTTATGTTTATTTTGTTAGGTACTCATCGCGTTCGAAAAGCCCTAAAAGAGATGGTTGGCTTCTATCCACTATCTTGCTTCAATATTCTATGGAAGTATACTGCTCCGCTTAGTGCTCTAGTAATATTTTTAAAACACCCCTCACATTTCTTTAAATCTATTTTAGATCCTTTTTGTCTGTTGTCTTGTAATGTACGAACCTTTGCGTTACCCTACTGGAAAGAATTATCCTTATTGGGCAGAAGCTTTTGGCTTTTGCCTTTCTGCGTGTTCCATGGTTGTTATTCCTGGCTATGCTTTATATTATATTTTCCATAGAGGGGATAATCTGACACCTTTAGAGGTGAATTTATTTTTTAAAGGGGTCCAAGACTATTAATATTTCAGAGGTTTCGCCGTGGAATCCATCCTCCCAATGAACTGGAAATTACAGCCCATAGGAGCGGTCATAACGACGAGGAACTCGAATTTATAGATAAGCCTAGAACGCCGAAGGGCGTCTCGAGTGTTGGCGTTTAATTGTGATTAATAAATTCTTTTTTTTATTTTATTGGTAATTCTCCTCAATTTTGGTGCTAAAATTAAAAAAAATATTTAGGAAAAGGTCTTAAAACTAATGTTTGGAAAACCCAAAAATTGAGGAAATTTTTAATTAATGCCGAATGATGATCTTATCTTCGTCACAAATGCCTCTAATAATCTCTTAAAATTATTTTAATCTTCCTTAATTTGTATTCACTTAATAATCATTATTTTCCCCCAAATTCATTTTATAAATGGTTGCTTTATACATATTAAGGATTTAATTAGTATGGGATTAATTGTTTTCTTTTAAATTTTAAATTGGCGAGGGGTTTAGAAAGAAAATACAGATTAATTCTAAATGTATTTTCCGGAAAAACATTTTATTGTTATTCCGTAAAGATTTAATTGTGTTTTCAGGAAAAACAAATAATTTTAAATGTTTAATAAAACGTGTGTTTTAAAACATGTGTTTTTTCCGGAAAGAAACATTTAATTGTATTTCTGTTTCCGGAAAATAAATATTACCTAATTGTATTTTCCGGAAGACAAATAATTTAAAATGTGTTTTCCGGAAAACAAATAATTTAAAATGTGTTTTCCGGAAAACATATAATAATATTAATTGTATTTTCCGGAAAACAATAATGTATTAACTGTGTTTTCCGGAAACATAATATATTAATTGTGTTTTCAGGAAAAACAAATAATTTTAAATGTTTTCCGGAAAGAGTTAATAAACAAAACATGTGTTTTATTAAATCCTTAATAAAATAAACATGCAATGTAATTTACTCCCAACAAAACATCAAATAAAACATTTACCTTTTTACTGGATAAATTCTTTAAATGTTTTTACACAACTTTTTTTAAATACTATAAAAACCCAACAATTTCTTCCCAACATTTTTATTTTTAATTCAAACAACGTCCAAACAAGTTTATTTTTCTTCTTCTCAAAAAATTAGAAGGATGTCTTTAATTACCGAACTTGAGCACATTTTGATTGCTATTATTGTCTTAAATCTAGTTTCTTCAGTTGTTATTGTTGCTTTGTCCTATTATCTTTACAAGAAGATTTGTGAAGCAAAGGTGTTTCGTGTTTTTTTTTTTCAAAAAATTTTTTTTCACTTTTTTAGGCACCATTAGAACAAATAGCCAAATGTTTGCATTCAAGTATTTTGCCGTTCTACTTTGCTTATACTCCAATTGTTGTATATGTTGTTATTGCGTTCCAATATGGTCACAAACTTGATGAAGTCTGTTTTTCCTTTGATTTTACGTAAAAGACCGAATTTTCGACAGACAAATTTTAATTTAAAAGCGACTTAAAACCACTAGAATTAGAGACAGGAATAAGGTCTCAGTCGTTCCCAGGTTTCCCAGTAGTTTTCTCGGTATTTTTGAAAAAATACCTGGATTAAGCCGGATTAATCTGGTCTGGGTTCTTCCCGAATTTATTCCTTTTGAGCTGTAGGCTTGAGTCCTTCAAACCTTTCGTTAGTCTGTTTGAATAAGGAGTTTCAAGCCGACCCGATTCACGAAAATCAAGAATCCCCGTCGGTTTTTTGAGTTGGGATCCTGATTTCTCGGTCGGTGTTTTATTTTAATGTTGGCTAGATCCCTCTACTATATTAAACTAAACATTCCTTAATTTAAAATCTTCAAATAATTCTAATTTTTTTCAGATAAAGTCAATATATCAACAATCAAAAAATGATCGAAAAAACTTTGTGATGGAAAACTTTGGAAATGATTCAATTTCTAAAGAGTTTTGCAACGAATTTGGAAGCCTTTTTCTCAAGTATGGGTTTGATGGTGAAAGGATTTTGTCCAATGAATAAATTAATTGGTGTAAAATTATTTGTAAAATTGTTTTTATTTCCGGTTTTTTCAATAAATACAAAATTTATTTAAAGCGCTTATTTTATTCGTGCCAGCACCGCCCTACAAAAATTCCAGACGGTATAATGTCTAGACGGTGTTTTGCCCTTCCTCTGATATTGAGATGTAGATTTTTAGTAGTAGAAGACGTCCCTTTGCAGTTTATTTGTCTGCTAGTAATCCCTTTCTTGGGCATGTCAGTCTTAATAAATTAAATGTAGTATGCTTTTTAATAAGCAGAAGTATTCCAAAGATCTATAAAATATTTCCCTAAATATTTTTACAATTTGATTTTTAACAACTAACAAAATTTTGCAATTTTAAAACCTTTTTTGCAACAATTAAAACTTGAATACATACCAATTTGTTTTACAATTTCCTTACATTAAATTTTACAATTTCACAACTTTCTTTAAAAAATTAAAACTTGTTGTCAACTCTCTTTAAATTTAAAACAAACATAAAACATTACAATTTCAAAAACCTTACAACAATTGTAAATTCTGTTTTACAATTCTTTAAACAACAAGTTTTATAATTTTAGTGTATAAACATTTAAGTTTTTGAAAACACATTTAAGTTTGTAAAACATGTTTGATTAACAATGTTTTTAAAAAACATTGTTAATCAAACATGTTTTACAATTCCATTACAAGTTTTACAATTTTCGCAACTTTTTTAAACATTAAAACTTGTTTTACAATTCCTCAAACAACCATTTTTACAATTTTAGTGTACAAACATGTGTGGTCAAAAACATGTCAACCAAACATGTTTTACAATTTTCATATTTGCATGTTCATTCCGAATATGTAAAAGAATGTATAAATTACTTCTAAATAACATTTATTGGCCATAGCTGCTTATTAAAGCTTTATATTTAATGTATCATCTTCCTTTCTCAATTTCCCCTTTTTATTCACACTTTTATATACAAATGTCCACAAATATTATAAAAGTAGTAGCTTATATTTTTTCTTTTTTGTATCCCCAAGAGAGCCATTATTTTTAGTGACAGTTATTCTCTTCCTTCTCTCCACTTTCCCGACACTTTCCAAAAGGTCACCATTTGGCCATTAGCTTCGATTTCCTTTTACTATTCTTGGCTTATAAACTCTTGGGAGGAAAACATTTTTTTCTCTAGCTGACAGTTTGTGTCTTTTTCTTATTTTAAGCCTTAGCCGTATCCGCTTTCCAATTCCTCAATATAATGTCAAAGTGTCAAAATGTCCATAACAGTAAAATTGTACATAATGCCTACAGGACAATAAGTCGACTAGTAAAAAATTTTTATAAAATGTCAATATGACAAAATGCCCAATAACGAAAATTTTTTCATTTTGTCAACTACCCTTTTGACGAATTCACGTCTACTGGCATTTTGTAAACCAGCTTAAAATTTCTTTTTTTGCCTCGTTTTCAAGTTAAAAACACACATTCTTTCTCATTTTTCTCGTTTCTTCTACTTTCTCTCTCCCTCAACTTCTCGACTTATATATCCATCAACTCTTCCATGTCAAGAACTTTATTTGCGTGCCGCAAACTAGAGTAGAGTAATATATTTGAGTGTAAGGCAATTGCCCTCAAAGGCAAGAATATTCTATATATATTCTTTTTTCTTTCAATTTTTTACCTCATCATCAGCACCTCCGTTATATCCGCCGACTTTCTTTTTTTTTCTTCCTCACTCAATCAATCCAGAGAGCCTCATATAGCCTCTTTCCTGTTAATTTTTCTTTTTAAAAATTTTCCCAAAAATGTCCCCAAATTTGTTCAATTTTTTTTTCTTTTCTTTTTACAATGTTACTACCTTCAACAAACTTGAAATGCGCTAATTCCTCTTCTTTTTTACCCAATTTTACAATTATTATTTTTTTGCTTCTTTTGTGTTTCTTTTTTATTTGTGTGTTTTTGTTAAATAATCCATGTTTGTTTTAATAAAAGCAAGTTTGTAAAACTTGTTTTGAATATATTTGTAAAACTTTTTACAATTTGTGAATTGTAAAAGGTTGGAACCTTAAAGCAACTTTTTTGCAATTTACAAAATCAACCTTTTACAACTTTTTTCAAACTTTTACAATTTATTTTACAAATTGTAAAAGGTTGAAAAGGTTTATTTTTACAATTTGTAAAAAGGTTTGTTTTAACATATTCTAAAAACTTACAAATTGTAAAATGTTTTATTTTCTCTTTTTACAAATATGTGCTTAATTTATATTTGGGATATTATTTAATTCATGGATAAAACAAATTATTGCCTTCTAAACAAATTTATTATTAAATCCGTTACCTGCGAGATTTTCTACTACTATTTTCATTGACTCTTTTAATTACTTTTTATATTTACATACACTATTGTTCATCTTATTTTTTTTTGTAAGAGACAGACTTTAATAATAAAAAGAAAATTTAGGTGTTTTATTATACATATTTTTTTATTAAAGCAATCTAAATATTTTCTAGATGCAGTGTAAAACAAATTCAAGTACAACTTTGTTTTTACAATACAAGCATTTAAAACTTACTTTTATAAATGTTTTATAATCCTTAAGTATTGTTTGTTAAAATTTTGTTTTCCACTTTTTTTACAATTAAAAGAAAATTGCAAAAACAAGTTGTAGAAACAAATTTATAAAAGAATCCATTTTACAACTTTGTTTTGCAACTTTCTTTTACAATTAGAAAAAGTTGTAAAAACAAAGTTGTAAAAAAATCCATTTTAGATGCAACTTGTTTTACAACTTTTTAAAACTTTGTTTTACAATTTTCTTTTACAATTATATCAAGTTTATTTTTTCCTTTACATTTTAAACATGTTTGCAAACTTGATAGCGCTGTAAATTTGTAAAACATTTGTGTTTTACAATGTTTATGTTTTTGCACACACATGTGTGAATATTTAATGTTATTCTTTTCCCATTGCCATTCTCATTCCATTCTCTACTATTTTTAGCTGCCATAAGAAGCCGGAAAGGCAGTGCTAATCAATTTTAATTGTAATGATTGTGTGTGTCAAAGGATAAAAATAAACAACAAATAAATAAATAAAAAAATTTATTAAAAAATATTTCCCCCTTTTTCTCCTCTATTTTTCAATTTTTTCAAACAATGCGGGGGAGCACTAATATTATGACTGTTATATTTTTTTTGATTGACTAAACTGATTTAAAATTGAATGACTGACTACCCTACTAATTTTTGAGCGACTTTAAAATTTTCTTTATTGTTCTTATAATCATCAAATAATATTTTTTTATCGTTCAATCATCTCAAATAAATATTTTTTATTAAAACAACGAAAAAAACAACAAAAAATCCTCTTTTTAAATTAAAATTTAATTGATCTCCTTTTTGCTCAAAGCGGCATTATATTAAAAAATTAAATAATTTAATTAAATAAACCTCAAAAATGGCCGATTTAGAGGCTGTTTTGGCCGACGTTTCTTATTTAATGGCTATGGAGAAGAGTAGAAGTCAGCCGGTTAGTCCCAGTTTTTGTTTAAGAATTAATTGTAAAATGATGAAAATTAAAATGATGAAATGTAAAAATAACCAAAAAAAATATTTTAGGCTGCCCGCGCCTCAAAGAAAATTGTTCTTCCAGATCCCAGGTCTTTTTGTGTTTTTAAATCAAAAGTCAGGTTGTGCGCAAAAACAACAAAAAACATTGTTTTATAAACACTGTTTAAAACATTTGTAAAATTAAAAATTTAAATGAATATAAAAATAAAATTGTAAAACAAGTTTTACAACTATAAAACAAACGAACTTTGTTTTTTAAAACTTAGTAATACTATGTTTTACAACCTATACCAATTTTACAATTATATTAGAATTGAATGTTTTAATAATAAACTTGTTTGCGTACAACAAGAAAATTGTAAAACAAAGTTTTAAAACTATAAAACAAACAAACTTTGTTTTACAACTTTGTTTACAACTTTTTTTCAACATTGTTTACAACTTTGTTTTACAATTGATTCTTAATAAAACTTGTTTTGCAATTCCCTTGTTTATTCAAGTTTTATTTAAACTTAATTTTACTACGTTTGTAAAAAAAGTTGTAAAACCTGTAAACAAAATTGTAAAACAAAGTTTGTACTTCATATAAACAAGAGAGTTGTAAAACAAGTTTTAAAATTATAAACAATGTTTTTGCGCACAATTAAAAAATTATTTTTATTTTACAAAATGCGTTTAAATTTAAAGTGTTCGGAGTATAATGCAAAAATATCTGGAGAAGACAGGGGAGATTCGTTTTGAAAAAATATTTTCGCAGCGACTCGGGTTTTTACTCCTCAAAGATTTTGCTGAAAATGTTGCAGAAACATCATGCCCCCAAATAAAATTTTATGAGGCAATTAAAGAATATGAAAAATTGGAAACGCCGGAAGAGAGACTGACTAAAGCGAGGGAGATTTATGATCACCATATTATGGTTGAATTTAAAGAAAATTTTTTTGTAGAAAATTTTTTTCTGTTTTAAGGTGGAAATGCTAGCACATTCACATGTTAGTTTTTAAAAACAATTGGTCAAATAATTGTTTTGACCAATTAATTGTTCGGGAAAACACAATTAATTGGTCAATTAATTGTTTTTAAGAACTACACAAAAGAAAGCTTACAACATGTCCAAAGGCATTTAATGAAGAATAATGTCCCCCCTGACCTCTTCCAGCCTTATGTGATGGAAATATGTGATCAATTGAAGGAAGATATTTTCCCCAAGTTTTTGGAAAGTGACAAGTTCACGAGATTTTGTCAATGGAAAAATCTTGAATTAAATATGAACTTGACAATGAATGATTTTTCTGGTGGGGAATTTTTGGGTTTTAGAGTGTGTTTTGTGTTTTACAATCTCTGTCTTGTATGAACTTTGTAAAACAAAATTGTAACTTGTTTTACAAATTCTAAGTTTATTTTGTTTTTACAACTTGTTTCCAACAAATTGTAAAAATGTTGTTAAAACATTTTGTAAAACAAGTTTCATTTACAAATTGTAAAATAAGCCTAAAACAATTTTACAATTCGTTTTTACAATTTGTAAAATAAACTTTAAACTTTTTTAACAAGTTCATTTTTGTTTTACAAATTGTAAAACAAATCGGAATTTGTAAAATAAAGCTTTTTATTCAATCAAGTTTCTAGTAAAAACATTGTAAAACAAGTTTTATTTACAATTTGTAAAATAGGTTTGATTTTGTTTTTACAATTTGTATCAAAGACAATAAAAAACAAAGAAATTCTTTAATAAACTTTCTTTCACTATTTTACAATTTGTATTTTATTAAATCTATTCCTTTTACTATTGAATTTAAAATTATATTTTTAGTTCACCGTATAATCGGACGGGGCGGTTTCGGTGAAGTCTACGGGTGCAGAAAAGCAGATACTGGGTTCATATTTTCTGTTTTTAATAAACCAAATCAAATTAAAATTAAAGCAAAATGTACGCAATGAAGTGCCTGGACAAGAAAAGAATTAAATTAAAACAGGGAGAAACACTAGCTTTAAATGAAAGTTGGGAAAAAAATATTTAAATTATTTAATTAAACAAATTTTCAGGAATAATGCTCAGTTTGGTTAGCACAGGAGTAAGTTTATTCTTGTAAAATATTTTTAGAATTTATTTTACAATTTGTAAATTTTATTATTTTAGCAAGACTGTCCTTTCATTGTTAGCATGTCCTACGCCTTTCAAGTTGGTTTTTTTACAATTACAATTTTATTATAATTTACAACTTTTTACAAATTGTAAAAACAATTTTTAAAACTTGTTTAATTAAGTTTTTATACATATTGTTTAAGAGTTGTAAACAAGTTTATTTTGTAGCAAGTTCGTGAACAAGTTGTAAAAACATTTTTATCAAAACTTTGTTTAGTAATCTTACAACTTGTTTTTTTTTGCAACATTAAACTTGTTTTTCAATTTTAATATTAAAACATGTTTTACAATCTTGAACATTGTTTTTACGCTGTGATTGGAAATTGTAAAAAATTTTACCATAATGTTTAAAATTGTAAAACATGTTTTAATATTAAGTTTGTAAAAAACAAGTTGTAAATTTACCAAACAAAGTTTTTGTTCTGCCTATTGTAAAGCATAATTTACCGTGAAGTGCATTTTTAATTAATTTTAAATCTTTTTTAGACGCCAGACAAACTTTGCTTTATTTTGGATTTAATGAATGGAGGCGATTTGCATTATCATCTTTCTCAACACGGGGTTTTTAGTGAATCAGAGGTTATTTTTTATGCAGCCGAAGTTATCCTTGGCCTTGAACATATGCATAATAGGTAATAAATAATTAATTAAATAAAAATTAAATTTTAATTTTTAGAACAGTCGTCTACAGGGATTTAAAACCAGCAAATATACTTTTGGACGAGAATGGTCATGTTAGGGTGAGTAAAGTTTTAAAAGTTTTGTTTTTGTTTGTTTTCAACAAGTTGCAAAAAATATTGATCAAAACATTTAACAAAACAAGTTTTATTTCAAGTTCCAAAACTTGGAAAAAAAATGAAACTTGTTTGTAAAACATGTTTTTAATGTTTTTTTATGTTTTTGTAAAACAAGTTTTAATAGGTGGTGTTTTTAAAGTTTCCAACTTTCTTTACAATTTGTAAAACAAATTTTAATTAAAATTTTGTTCGGAAACAACATTGTAAAACTTTGTTTTTAAGTCTATTTTTTGTTTGTTTCCAAGTTTAAAAATTTGTTTAAAACATTTTTACAAAACAAGTTTATTTTTTAAAAACAAGTTTATTTAAAGTTGCAAAACAAGTTTATTTAAAGTTGCAGAACTTGTTTTTCCAACTTGTTTATAGTTTTTACAAATTGTAAATTGTAAAAACATTGTTTCGATTTATTTTAAAAACAAATTGTAAAACTTCTATTTTTAAATGTTTTACAATTTTCTTCCTTTTTAACAGGTCAGCGACTTAGGTTTAGCCTGTGACTACTCTAAAAAGAAACCTCACGCAAGTGTTGGCACCCACGGCTATATGGTAAATTTTATTATTACCAACAAACAATTTGTCACGTTATTTAAGGCCCCAGAAGTTCTTGCAAAAGGAGTAGCTTACGACTCGTAAATATTTTTTATTTATTAAAAACTTTTTTTTGTTTAGTTCCGCAGATTGGTTCTCCTTTGGTTGTATGTTATATAAACTACTTAAAGGGCACAGCCCTTTCCGGCAGCACAACAAAGGCAAAAAACATTCTCAAGACAAAAATGAGATTGATAAAATAACGTTAACACAAGACATTGAATTGCCTGATCAAGGCTTTTCTCCTGAATGCAGAAATCTTTTGGAAGGATTGTTGAAGAGAGATGTACAAGAAAGGCTTGGTTGTAAGGGGAAAGGGTAGGGAAGATTTTTAAAAAATTAAAAAAAAAATATTTTTTTAAAGAGCAGAAGAGATAAAAACTCATCCTTTCTTTCGTGGAGTTGACTGGCAAGTTGTTTACCTCCGGAGAATGGCTCCTCCCCTAATTCCGCCTAGGTAAGAAAAAAATAAAACTTGAATTAATCAAAATAAAATTTTAGAGGTGAAGTTAATGCTGCCGATGCTTTTGACATTGGCAACTTTGATGATGACGAGGTTTGTAAAAAATTTACAAATTGTAAAAATAAATTACAAATTGTAAAAAATTAAATTTACAAATTGTAAAAAAAATTACAAATTGTAAAACAAAAATTACAAATTGTAAAAAAAATTACAAATTGTAAAACAAAAATTACAAATTGTAAAAAGAATTACAAATTGTAAAAAAATATAAATTTAAAAATTACAAATAAATTACAAATTGTAAAAAAATTACAAATTGTAAAAAGAACTGCAAATTGTAAAAATTACACATTATAAGAGAATTACAAATTGTAATTTAAGGTTAAAGGCGTCAAGTTGGCAGATGCAGATAGCGAACTTTACAAAAACTTCAATATTATAATATCAGAACGGTGGCAGAATGAAATTGCAGAAACTGTTTTTGATGTTGTAAATCAAGATGCGGATAAAAGTGAACAAAAGAAGAGGGCAAAGCTTAAAACAAGGATAGCAGTTGATGAAAAAGGTGAGTTGGAAAAATGTTGGGGAAAAGTTGAAATTGTAAAACAAAGTTTTAGATTTTGTAAAATTGTAAAACATTTGTAAAACTTTGTTTTAACAGTTATAAAACTAAGTTGTAAAACAAACATTTGTAAAATTTGTTTTAAACTTTATTTGAACAAGTTTTAAAAACTTATTGTAAAACAAGTTTTATTTTAAAACTTTGTTTCAACTTGTTTATAGTTTTTACAAATTGTAAAAACAATGTTTCGATTTATTTTAAAAACAAATTGTAAAACTTTTCTATCTTTAGATGTTTTACAATCTCTCAACAAAGTTTAAAAATATAACAAATTGTAAAACAAAGTTGTAAAGTTTCAGCTTATTGTAAAACAAGTTTTATTTTAAAACTTTGTTTTAATTTGTAAAACTAAGTTGTAAAACAAAGTTTTCCATTGTTTTAAATTTTACAAAACTTCAAAATTTTAAACCTTTGTAAAACAATGTTTTAATTTAAAAAGGCGAGACTGATTTGTACATCCATGGATATATCAAAAAACTTGGTGGTCCTTTTACTTCTGCCTGGCAGATAAAATATGGAAAGCTTTACCCCAGCCGTTTGGAGCTTTACCCGGAGTCATTAAGTGGAAAACCTGAGGTATCTCTTAACCCTAGTTTTCACAATTTTCTTCATTTTTTCAGTTACTTTTTATGGACCAAATTGACGAAGTGACTTCCGATCTTCAACAAGTAAAAGGAGAATCAGCGATTGTAGTTAAATTAAAAGAAGGATTGAAAGAGAACCGAGTTATTCTAACCAATCAAGATGAAATTTCTCTCAAGGAATGGCACACTTCCCTTAGAACTGTTTCTTTTTTCTTCTAAATTTTCTTATAATTTTTTAATTTAAAGGCTCATCGGGTCTCACAAGAATTGCTTCAAAGAATGGGAAGGAAAGCTATTAAAATTTACGGGGTTAATCATGACCCAATGCTTCAGGAAAGTGAAAGGCCTGGATCCGTTACGAGGGCAATTCTCAATAGGGCGTCTTCAACTGATTCTGGAATTTAAATAAAATAAACTTATTTTACAATTTTCAAATTAATTGTTTTTAATTACAAATTTCAAGTTCTTGTGTTTTCTTAAAAACAATGTTTTTACAAAAATTGAAAAACATGGATATTTTGTAAAACACATTTAAAAAATAAACTTGTTTTACAACAAGTTTTATTATAAAAACATAAAAACATTGATAAAAACATTAAAAACATGTTTTGTAGAAAAACATGTTTTACAAACAAGTTGTTTTACTGTTTTGCAATGTTTTTAAAAAGCTACACCTTTTTTATTTTGTAAAAACTTGGTTTTTACGAATAAGTTGTTTAAGTTCAAGTTTTAGTGTTTTGAAAACATTTGTAAAACAAGTTTTATTTTACTAGCATTGTTTTAATGTTTGTTTAACAAGTTGTAAAACAAGTTTATTTGTTTGTCAAATATTGTTTTAATGTTTTACAAATGTTTTTTTAATATAAAACAAGTTAAAACCTTGTTTTTTTTGTTTGTAGAAGCATTTACAGAACAAACATTCTTTTTAAAACAACTACAAACTTAAAACAAAGTTGTAAAACATGTTTTAAATAGAAAATACAATTTGTATAAAATACCTTAAACATTTTTTTCATTCATTCTAGTCAAAAAATCATTTTTTCTTTTTAAATTGCATTTTTAATTTTTTATTTTTGTGCCCCCAACAATCATATCACCCCCTCCCCTCTTCTCTCATTTTCAAAAAAAAATATTTTTTAGTCACATGTTTTGTTCATTTTACTTGCCATTATCAATTCTTTTATCGGCAACTTCTACTTCTCAAAAAAACGAAAAAAGAAACCAATTTTTGTTCTCTTCTCTACTTTTTACTTTTTTTTTGTTATTTTAAAAATTGTTTTATTTCCTGATTTGGCAACATTTTTTTAAAATAAATTTTAATTGTTTTTCTATTTGTTTAATAACTTTTGAACCAAACAAGTTGTAAAACTTGTGTGTTTTAAAAAAAGTTTTAAAACATGTTTAAAAAAAGTTGGAAACTTGGAATTAAAGTTTTAAGGTTGGACAAAGGAATTGTAAACATAAAGGAAAACAAAACAATTGTAAAAAAAGTTTTGTTTATTTTTAAAAATATGCAAATTTTTATAAAAACAAAAGGGAAAACTTTTTTTACAATTGCTTTGTTTTCCTTATTTAAATATGTTTTCTAATTTTGGCAACATTATTTAAATAAACAAAATATTTAATAAATTTAGCTAGGTAGTTAAATTTACAAAAGAAAGCTGTTTTCATCAATTTTGCAAATTTCTAAAACTTATAGAAATTTAATTTTAAACATGCAAAATTCCCCAGAAGGATTTTCAAGCATGTTTTTCCTATAGATTAATTTAAAGGATTTACTATTTTGCATTAGGATTTCACTTATAATGAGAAGAATCCTCTCTGGTTTGTTTTTATTTTTAATAAAAACAGCTTGTTTTTATTGGATTTTTTCTCATTTCTAAATTAATAATATGCTTTTTAAGATTTTTTGTCAAACATATTTTTTACATTATTTTACAATTCATAAGAAGCATTAAGTTTTACAACTAAGTTTTATAACTAGTAATTTCCGCCTGTTTTCACAACTTGGTTCTATAACTGCAAGTTTTACAAATAATATTACAACTAGGTTTTCTACATATGTTTTACAACTATGTTTTAGATTATGTTTTGCAACCTTTTTTACAACTTAGTTTTTACAATTCAAGTTTTACAATTCATTTTTACAATTAAGTTTTAAAACCAAGTTTTACAAGTTTTTTTACAGCTTAGTCTTACAACTTTGTTTTACAATTGCAAGTTTTACAAATTGTAAAACTTAAATTGTAAAACTAGGTTGTAAAAAAGGTTGTAAAACTTTATTTTAAAACTTAATTGTAAAAATTAAGATTTACAATTAATTTTATTCTTTCGAACTTTGTTTTACAATACTACTATAAAACACAAATATTCGTCATAATTTACAAACTTAAATACTAAAGTACAATCTTATTATATTTCTATTTTTTATTCTTTTAAAAATCGAAAGTATGCTCTCCTCTATTTACAATTTCATTTTTTCCCCAAAAATAACAATACCTCAAAAATAGTTATATGGCCTTTTTTTACTTTTATCTAAAATGTCATCAGTACATGCTAGCACGTCATTATGAAAAAGCACTCCTTTTTCCTTAACATTTTTTTTCTTCGTTTACATGGTTCCCGATAAGCATTTAAAAAGAGTAACGTCCATTTTTCCTTCATTTTAAGCCTTAAATACAAGTGTGGCATTGTAGAGAGTCGACTGATGAGCGGCAGCTTTTCTAATGCTAATACCCAATATATAAAAATGCCTGCCTGTTCTCTCATTTTTTTCTATTTTCTCTTATTCTCCCACATTGGCACGCCTTTCCCCGTTCTTTTCTCCTTGCTTTTAAAGCATTTCCGCTTATATATAAAATGCCTGTGTGTTGCTGATTCCGCGAAGTTGTCCGTCCCTTCATCATGACTGCCATTTATCTTAAGCGAGAATGGGACATACGTATATTATATTTAGTCAAAGGCATATTTTCTCAAAAATGGCATACATGCGCGCTTTGCTCTTCTATTTCAGCTCTAAAACCAAAAGATCAACCATTTTATTCGCACCTAATTAGTTTTGTTTTACAAACTTGTTTTAATGAAAATTCCTTAAAACATGTTTTACAACTTTTCACAAACATTTTTAAAAACCTTATGTTTGCAACGTTGTTTTACAAACCTTATGTCCTTACAAACATGTTTACAAACTTGTTTTATAAAAATTGCTTAAAACTTGTTTTACAACTTTTCATAAACTTGACAATGTTTTACAACATTTTTACTATTATGTTTTCTACCTTGTTTTACAAACCTTGTGTCTCTACGAACTTGTTTTACAAACTTGTTTTGTTGAAAATTCCTTAAGACTTGTTTTACAACTTTTTTACAAACCTTATGTTTGCAACCATGTTTTACGAACCTTATTTCTCTACAAACTTGTTTTGCAAGCTTGTTTTATAAAAAATTCCTTGTTTTACAATTTAATTTACAATTATTCTAAAACTTCAATTTGCTTCAATTTTATTTGACTACAATAATTATAATTAAGATTGCGATCTTCTGGGTTAAGTCATACCTCCACCCATTCATTTTTTGCTTTAAAGGAGAACTCAAAAACAGGACGGAAACGTCCCTCGGCATTTCCTTTCACTTGCCAGCCTTATATGTAAAAATTATCTCTATCTATCCCCCTTCAATCGATGTTTATATCCAACAGCAACAGCCCACCAAATATGGCAAAATTGCTTTAAGTAGTAAAAGAATTACCACAAAATTACCACACAACACCCACCAACCCCTTTCTCCTCTCTCTTCTTTCTCTTATTGCCATTCTTTTTTGAAATGAAAGCGCACCCCCATTTCTCACTTGTTTTCACTCAAAAGCCATTCTTCCATACAAAATTAACTTTTTTGGCTACTAAAATAATATATCATCATAAATTCTTTTATTTTTTACTTATTTTTAGAGTGTTTTTTGTAGGTATTATTAGTATCCGAGAAAGAATTAATTTTAATTTAGTTAGGCAATATTGTTTTTACAATCCCGACTTTGTTTTTAAAAAAATGTTTTAAAATTAATCAACTTTATTTTTACAATCCTTTTTACAATACAAGTTTATTTTTTATAATTACAACTTTGTTTCTCAATTTCACCTTCCAACTTTTTTTCAAATCCGAACTTCCTTGTTTTTACAACCCCATCGTTGTTTTTACAATTCATCCTTTTTTAATCCAAACATTTTTTACAATCCGAACTTCTTTGTTTTTACAAACCAAATGCTTTACAATCCATTATTTTTACAATCCCAATTTTGTTTTACAACCCCAACCTAGTTTTTACAATTCATCCCTTTTAATAATCTGAACTTTTCTAAAATCCCAACATTGTTTTTAAAAACCAACTTTGTTTTTCTATTCCAACATTGCTTTTACAATCCAACATTTTAATTTTTACAATCCAACTCTTTAAACTTTAAAATTTTCAGTTAAAAAATAATTCAAGTCCATGTTCGGCGTCCCCCTTTAAATTTATTCCCGGCATGGCAAAGTGTTGTAGCGTTGTTGTTGGAAGGGCGAAGATGACAGCAACATTTCCTCTATCAAAACAATCCCAGATTTATAAACTACTTTTGTTATTTTTGTTGCCAATTCTGTTCTGCTCATTGAGGGGAGAAGCAGCTTTGTTACAAGGTGGAAATTTTATAATTTTTTAAGAAGAATAAAAATTAGGGGAAATAAAAAATTTATTTTGGTCTAAAAATATGGGGAAAACGTGACTTTACTTCACTTTCTTATTAAATTGAATACCTACTCACAATTACCCCAATACACATGCCACCCAGCCATGTTCGGCGGGTGGCATGTCGTGGAAGAAAAGTCTACCAAAAAAACGTTAGGATACAGATTATCACCTTTCTGCCTTTGACTAACCAGACATGTCCTTAAATAGAAAAAAATGTTTGTTGTATTTTTGCGTGACTATTCATTGCCTTTAAAGTTTTTTTATAGTTTAAATATTTATAGACAAAAATGATTCTATCTGAATTGTATTTTATATTCTAGGTTTGTATTTAGGTATTTTATTAGTTTTACAAACTAACTTTATTTTTTACAATTCCAACTTTGTTTTTACAATTTTATTTTATTTTTACAATTCCAACTTTGTTTTACAATTTAGGTTTATTTTTTCAAACACAACATTTTTATAATTCCAACTTGTTTTTACAATTCATTTTATTATTTTTACAATCCAACTTTAATTTTTTAAATTCCAACCTTTTTACAATTCAACCTATTTTACAATTTTATTATTTTTTACAATCCAACCTTTTCTTTTTTTATAATTCCAACTTTGTTTTTACAATTCAATTTTATAAAACTTTGTTTCCTTCTTTCCTTTTACTTTCAGACATTTTAGCATCTAAAAATCCTTAAATTAATCTTCTAAAAAATTTTTTTTATTCTTTTAATCCTTGTTACATTAAAACAACTTTTATTTCCATTTTAAAAATTTTAAAATTATATTACTTTTTTTCTCAAACAAAAAGTCTCTTTTTTAAATGTGTGGGGGCAAAGGCGGAAATCACGTCAACAAAAATAAAAGAAACAAATAAGGAATATTAAATGAGTAAATAAAAATATTAAATAAAAAGCACTATAAATAGGTGTAAATAAAAATAAAATTCTTTTAAAGATTAAATTAAAGATCAAAAAGAGAAACAAAAGTTTAAATTAGTTTATTTTTGTTATTAAACTTATTTGTGAGAATTTGAAAGGTTAAGCTTATTAAGGTCTAAGTTTGTTTTTTTAATTCTAATGTGTTTTTACAATCCAACCTTTTTTACAATTCAAGTTTATTTATTTAAATGCAACTTTTTCTTGTATTCCAACTTGTTTTCACAATTCAAGTTTATTTTAAAATCCATTTTTATATTTTTACAATCCAACCTATTTTACAATTTCATTATTTTTACAAACCAACTTTCTTTTTACAATCCAGTTTTATTTTTTTAATTCCAACTTGTTTTTACAAGAAAAAAAGTTTTAAAACTTGTTTTACAATTTGTAAACGAAAAATTAAAGTTTTACAATTGTGTGAGTGTTTGTTTTGAAATTGAAACTTTTTTAAATTAAATAAAGTTTTACAATTGTAAAAACTTGTTTAACTTACCATTAATGTTGCATTAAAGTATTAAAACTTGTTTTACAATTATTAAACGATCTAGTGTATTTCTCAACAGAATTTACCTCTCTTCTTATTTAAAAAAATAATTTCCTTATTTTATTCGCAACTTTAAAATTGAGAAAAAAATATTTTTTTTGTTTTTAGAGACCAATTACTATTTATTTTATTTTTTTCATTTTCTTGTTTTTGAATTTCTTAAACTCATTTTTCAATTTTCTTTTTTTCGTATTTCCCGATTTGGAATATAAAAGAGCCTTTGGCAAAACTGACATCAGAATGAACACAAAATTAAAATGGAAAGAAGAAAGTTTCCTTTAGGGAATAAAAATTTAGAAGATGTTAGGGGTTAAAAAGTGCAAATAAAGAATCTTTTGTATTGAAAAAAAAAGTTTTACAATTATGAAAATTGTAAAAAAAGTTTAATTAGAAATTGTAAAAATTAAAAATTGTAAAAACAAATTATTTAAATTGTAAAAAATGTTTTAAAGTTGGAAATTAAGATTACAAATAGAACTTTTTAAAGTTTTACAATTAAGGTTTTAAAGTTTTAAGTTTTGGGAATTTCAAGTTTTACAATCAAGTTTAATTAAGTTTTAAAGGTTTAATTAAAGTTTTAGAATTTTTAAGGTTGAAGCTTTAAATTGAAAAATTGTAAAAAAAGTTGTAAAACTTTAAAAAAAGGGTATAATTGTAATTTTAAACAAACATTAATTCTTTTCAAGTTTTACAATCTTGAAGTTTACAATTTAATAAATTGTAAAAATAATTATAACAAAGTTTTGACAATTTACAAATTGTATTTTTAATATTTCAATTAAGTTATATTGTAAACTAACAATTATTTCTTATTACAAATTACCGTAAATACTCTAATAGAAGCCCTGGGCTTGTATTTTTCAATGGGCCCCCTCGGAGTGGCTTCTACAAGAGGTGGGCTTCTATTGGAGTATTTACGGTAATTTTTTTCCTTTTCTAAATATTAATCCAAAAATAATTTCTAAATAAATTAATTTATATTGTTTCTATTTTTATTTCATCTTTAACCTCAACGGAAATAGGTTCATTATCTTTCTTTTGATAAAATATTTTTAAATTTTTATTTTTGTCTTTTTCTCATTTCTTTTTTTAATTAATTAATCTTTTAATTACAAGAAAACCGTATTTTTTAATTAAAAAATGAACTCGGAGTTTATACATTAAATTATCCATTTTTGGTTATTTTCACACTTAAAAACTACCCACACATTTTAATTAAAACAAGTTCAAACTTGTTTTACAATACCTTTGGAGTTTTACAATTCAAGTTGCAATTTTACAATTCTAATGTTTTTACAAATTAATAAATTGTAAAAAAATTGTTTTTAAAAAAGTTTTAACAATTACAAATTGTAAAAACCTTTTAATATTCAATAAAGTTTTACAATTCAAGTTTAATTAAGTTTTAAAGTTTTAAGTTGTGGAGATTTTCAAGTTTTACAATTTTAAGTTTGAACAAACTTAAGTTTTACAATCTTAAAGTTTTCCAAACTTAAGTTTTAAAATTTAAGTTTAACAACTTATGTTTTACAACTTAAGTTTCACAAACTTAAAGTTTTACAAATTTTCAAGTTTTACAATTCTAATAATTTTTAAGTTTAATTACAATTTAGTTAAAACTTTAATGCTCCTCAACACTCTCTACTTTTCTCTTCTTATTTAATTTTCTCAAAAACTTTCCCATTAATTAAACTTTTTTAAAGTTTTAGCGAGAGAATATATTCTAATTCCAACTTGCAAGAGAAAAAGTTTTTAAAAAAAAGTTGGAATATAAACTAAAAGCATTTTAAGCTTATGTCTCCCCCTCCCCTCCAAACGTTCACCCTTTGCCATTAAAAATGGATCGAATTTCTTTTATTTTTTTTGCATTTTGGGATTCCAAGGCAACCAACGCCTATTAAAAAAAATTTTTTTCCCTCAATTATCTCAAAAAAATGTAAGAATTAATTTTAAATGAGAGATTTTTAATGATGAATATTAAAGGGGAAAGTCTCCTTTTTGACGTAAAAAATCCTTAATAACTTTTTAAAATAAACAAAGAATTAAAGGGAAATGACGAGACAATTATTAAATAAATGTTTAGTTAATTGGCTTTGTTGAGGAGTTTTAATAATTTTTTCTTGGTAAAAAAAGAATAAATTTATGCAATTTGTAAAAATAAATTGTAAAAAAAGAATTAAAAGAAATGGAAAATTAAATTATTTACAATTGTAAAAAACATAAATAAAATAAAATTTATTTACAATTGTAAAACTAATAAGGAAAAGAATAAGCTTATGTAAGGTTTTACAAACCCCTTAAAATTTGATAAATAAATTGTAAACAAAAAAGAGGTTTTGCAATTGTAAAACCTTACAAAAATAAACTTTATTTACAATTGTAAAATTTATGCAAGGTTTTACAAAACCCCTTAAAACCTTTTCTAAATAACCAAAAAATGAGGAATTTTACAATTGTAAATAAAGTTTAGTGAAATTTAAATGAGGTTTTACAATTGTAAAAAGAAATAAAATAATTTTACAATTGTAAAACTTTAAAAGAACTAATTATTAGAAGTAAAAATAATTAAATCATTTTGGGGTTTAAGGCAACCAACGCCAAAAAATTTAAAAAAAATTTTACAATTGGAAAAGCTTAAAATTGTAATAACTCTATAAATTTAATCGTTTTTTAAGGTTGCGATTTCGGTGAAGAACTCTGTGACCCAGGAGAGATATGCATTCCAGATGGTCTCTTCGGTCAGTGTTATTCTGACCCAGAAGCGGCTTTTGTACGGCCTTTGGTGCTTGAACGTTCTCTTACCGAAAAACAGGCTAAAATGCTTAGATCAGAATTGAGTGTTTTGGCTAAATTGGGGTTGGATTGGCCCCATGCCCGTTCTCAATGTGTTTTGGCTTATTTTAAATTGGCTGCAGCTTTTAGGTTGGAATACGACCCTGAATTTTGTGATGTGAGAGATCCTGCGAATATATGGGCTCTTGTACAGGTAGTAATTAATTTGTGGGGAAATTACAATTGTAAAACCTTGTAGTGCTTAAAAAGTTATAATAATAAATAAACCCGTTACAATTGTAAAAACTTAACATTTGATAAAGGTTCAAGTTTTACAATTGTAAAATCTGTAGTGATGGAAAAGAGAAAAAAAGTTTTATTAAAATAAGCATTTTACAAATTGTAATTACAAATTGTAAAAATTTTACAAATTGTAAAAACCTAAAATTTAATAAACTTGTTGTTTCAATCAAGTTTTACAATTATTATAATGTCGGTTACTGTAATGTTGGGAAAAAGTTTTACAATTGTAAAATGTTTATTTGTAACTACAAACACTCCTTAAACCATGAACATTATAATTATTAATAAACTTGGGTAATTGCAATTGTAAAGTGTTAATACAACGTATTAAACTTTATCCCTCGTTTTTGTTTTTCTACTTAATTTATTTAAATAATTTTAGAGGGTTCAAAATTCATTGTTAGCCGAAGTTGAACAAGTTGAAGACGAAGAAGAAGAGAAGGAGAAACAACTGGAAGAGGCACAAATTGGAGACGAAGGGCAATCATTGTTGACGGGAGTTAATGAGGAGGATGAAAATGAAGAAGAGAATAATGAGGTGGGGGAAGAAGAAAGGGGAGAAGGGAGAGAGGAAGGGAGAGATGGAAATGAGGAAGAAGAGAACCCTTCAGTAAAGTTGGAATTTATTCCAGTCTTGTTGCTAGACCCTAATGAAGCAGAAGATAAATTGAATGGTAAAAATAATGCCTATCAAATAGCAGAGGAGGAGAAGGAGGAAAAGGAAGAAGAAGACAATAAAGACAAGGAAGAGCCATCAAAATTAATTGAAAAAACCAAAAGAAACAATCAAGGGGAGACGTTAAATGCTCCAGAAAATGCCCAACTTGAACAAATTTTACAAAAACTTTTATTACAAAAGGAGGGGGAGGATGGAGAAAAGGAAGGGAAGGCGGTAAAGACCCTCTCTGATAAACAAATAACCAGACTTGTTAAATTTGTGAAACAATTGCAAAATTTGGTGGAGGAAGGAATTGAAAGAAGGGGTGAGTTGGGGAAAAATTTTTTTTAATTTTCAAAAAATTTTTAAAAATTTTTCGAGAGGTTAGGAATTTTTAAAAATTTTTAAAAAAATTTTTTTTATTCTTTTTCGGTTGAAAAAATTTTTTTTAAATTTTTTTCAAAAATTTCAATTTTAGCAGAAGAGGAAGAAGAAAAACTCGTCAACTCCATGAAAAAAGGACAAGAGGAAGTAGAAAGTAAAGAGAATGAGGAAGAGGAAGAAGGGGTAGAGGAAGTAAACGATCTTTCTGGACGGCCAGTTTTGCTCCTCAAAAAGGACTCTGAACAATTTAACAATGCAGATATGGGCTTGGCACATACAGTCCACAAAATAGTGAAAGGAGGAATTCAACGGGTAGAAGGGAATCGAGTTTACCTTCGAGTGGCTAAAGAAAATTTGACTGAGGAAGAGCTTTACAAATTAATTGCTTATTTGGACAGAAAAATAGCAGCGCCAAATAATTTGTATTTTGATCAATTCCTCTACGAGGACGGCCAATTGTCCTTTCGAATTTCCAACCCTTCCTTGACTATGCAAAAACCGACTAAAGTTGATAGTGCTAGTGGTATTGCACAAGCTGTTTATAAAAGAAGAAAAGATATACAGGTGGGAAATAGTAGGGGATATAATGAGAGAAATTACAATTGTAAATTTTTACAATTGGAAAAGAGTGTAATGAGGGGAGAGGAAAATAGAGAAATAATTCAAGTTTTAATTGTAATTCAAGTTTAATTTAAAACTTGATTTTGTAATTGTAAAACTTGAGATTGTAATTCAAGTTTTATTATTAAACTTGAGATTGTAATTCAAGTTTTATTAATTAAAGTTTTACAATTAAAACTTGGATTATTAATTTATTAATTGTAAAACCTGAATTTGTAATTGTAGTTCAAGTTTTATTAGTTCAAGTTTAATTTAAAACTTGATATTGTAATTCAAGTTGTAATTGCAATTCAAGTTTTATTTTTAAAGTTTTACAATTACAATAAAACTTGAATTATTCCTTTATTAATCGTAAAACTTGTAATTCAAGTTTTAATTGTAAAACTTGAATTTGTAATTGTAAAACTTGTTCTAAAACTAAGAAAATAGTGTAGGGAGTGATGAGAGACAGCAGAAAAACAATAGAAGCAAATTAAAGCTGTAAAATTATGCTTAATAACTAAAAGTTTGACAGATACTCTCCTCTTTTTACACAGTCTTTTCTATAATTCGGTCGCTTTGTTTTGGGGGATTTTTAATTCTTAATCTGAATAATTTCCAATCATTTGCTTATTTTTAGACACTTGCCGGTGTGCGCGTTGACGAAACCGGGATTGGAAGTGGAGAGGCAAGCTTGAAAAATTTGCTTAATAAAATCCATTCTTTAGGATGTCGTTCCAGTCGAGCGTTCCCAACGCGACCAATTATTTATTCCAATCCTCGCCGTTTCTGCAATGACAATCTGTGCTTTACTCTCCGTCTTAGCGTCAACAATAATTCGGCGTCGACGAGATTCAAATAAAAAAATGTTGCCAATACTTCCACAGACTATAGGGCAAGACGACAAAATCTATGCAGAATTGTGCCGTCAACGGGCTGAGACAATCCCCCATTCGGTTGCTGTGATAGAAGGGAGTGGGCAACGTTCGAAGCATTCGAGTACTTCATCGTTCCACGAAAATGAGACTTTTGGGGCTTCGAATGGGTCTGATATGGACATCGGGACGGGGCACGTCCTCCTAGCTTTTTTACAAAAACATTTGGAGAATCCAAACGAAATAAATAAACAATGGGAGTCTGTAAAGGATTATGAAGCGTCCGAAGAGGTTGCCCAATGTAAGGTGGCCAAAAGAGAGGAAAATGTTGGGAAGAATTTTGATAGTGGAACGCTGCCATGTAAAAAACTGAATTTTAGTTTAAAGCTTAGAGCCTTTTTAGATGATGAATCGCGTGTGCAACTTCATGAGAATGATTTGGCAGAATTGAGTGACGGGAAGGGCTATATTAATGCTAGCATGATATTTGATTCGAATCCGGAACAGCCGGTAAATGAGGGGAATTTTGGGAGAATCTTTGACTTATCCCACCTTAAATTTCTGAATTTATGACTTATCCCGGCCTAGCTCAGTCTAAGTTTCTGTTTCCGAAAGCTCCTACATATCCCAAGCTATCAACTATTACGCCGAGGAATTGTTGGACAGTCGGTAAATGAGGGAATTCTGGATAATCTTTGACTTAGTATCACACTTGATATTTCTTGTTTTCTGACTTTTCTCACTGTATTTTAAACCTTTGACTTGCCCTACTTGATATTTCTAAACCTTCTAAATTATCCCCATTTCATATATGTACCTCTGAGTTGTCCCATCTTTTATTTCTTGACCTTTGACTTATCCCGGCCTAGTTCAGTCTAGCTTTGCATTTCCCCAAAACTCCCACATATCCCTCGCTTTCAGCTATCCCACCTAGTAAGTGTTGGGATAAATTGTCGTCTGGTGGGATAGTAAAGAGATTCTATCCAAATTTAGAATTTACTAAAAACAATTTCTTTCTAGGCTTATATTGCCGCCCAAACACCTTTGGAGCAAACGGCTTCTCAATTTTGGCAAATGATTTGGGAGCAGGGGATTGGATTAATTGTCAATTTGTGTGATAAAGGGGACAATTACTTCAAGTATTGGCCAGAGGAGGGAGTGAAGCTGTTCGGCTGTTTTGAGGCCCATCTAGTCTCTGAACACATTTGGAGCGAGCATTACGTCATCCGCTCGCTTTACCTAAAAAATACTGCAACACAAGAAACACGTACAGTTACACAATTCCATTTCACAAGTTGGGCAGCTGGTGGAGTTCCAGCTTCAAACAAAGCATTGCTTGAATTTAGAAGGTATAATTTATTTTCTCGATATTAGAGGACCAACGGGGTCTCGAAATTTCGTCTTTTCGCGAAGCAAGTGAAAAACTCGAAATTTCGCTTCTATTTAAAACACGAAATTTCGTGGTTCGATTTTCGGCGGTCTCGAAATTTCGTCTTTTCACGAAACAAGTGAAAACTCGAAATTTCGTTTTTTAATTAAAACACGAAATTTCGTGATTCGATTTTCGTGTTTACGCGTTTTTTTCGGACGATAGTCTCTCCTTGATATAGAAAATAATTTTCAAATTCAGAAAAGTGAACAAGTCTTATCGTGGGCGTGCTTCTCCAGTACTCGTTCACTGCACCAATGGTATAAAACAATTAAAAATTTAAATATATTTTTTTAATTAAAGGAAGTGGACGTACTGGAACGTATATTATGATTGACATGACCGCAAAACGGATTAATAAAGGCAAAAATTTTTTTAATTAGAATATCAGTCCGCAAATATTTGCGGACAACAAAAGAATCCATAGCTGAAAAAAAATTTTTTGGTTAAGTGGATAAGAGCGCAGCCTTTCCCTAAATTAGGGTCGGGGGTTCGAGTCCTTTTAGGGAAATTTGATATATTTTAATTAAGTAAATATTTTAAAAACATGAAATAAACATTTAAATAGTAAATAAAAATGTTTAAATGTTTTTTTAACAGATTGATTTGCTAAGATAAAATGTTTCAGTCAAATAAAGATAAAAAATCACGATTGCGCACATTTATCCAGCTATAACTTTTTATAGGATGATCATATCAAATCAATCCTGTTAGCTAAAATAATCCTCACATTCATAGCTTTCGATTGGTATAAAAATTATTTAAATCGGTTGAGAATCGAAAAAGTTATGGGCAAAAATATTGCCTCGAGACTGGGGCAGTGATACTGAATCCTATGCCTTTCCTTAATTTAAGAAATTTTTTCTATTCAAAAAAATTTTCTTAAAAATTTCCAGGAGTAAAGGAACTAAACATCGCCGCATCTTTAGAACATCTGCGTGATCAACGAATGAAAATGGTTGAGAATGAACAACAATTTAAATGTGTATTTAGCTGTATAGCTGATGAAATTTCTTTGTTGTTAAAAGGAATTCAACATTGAAAAATTAAAAAAAAATTTTTTTAAAGGAGAAAATGAGAGAGAAAAGAAAGGCAACAAAAAAATTGACAAAAAAAATTAAAAAATATTTTTTAAATTAATTATACTTCCCCCCAGACCCCCCCCTTCCCTTTTGCTTATATTTGCATAAAAAGAGATGTGTGTGTTTGTGTTGCTTTGCAAAAATAAAAATATATTAAAATTAAGTATAAATTTAAATAAATTTTTGACAAGCTTTTTTTGTTTTTACTTGTCTGATCGTGTTTTGGAATTCCTTGAGTTGCCCTTTTACCCAGAAAAATATTTTTGCCTGTTTGTGGCATTCTCCTTTCCTTTATCATCTCTCAATAAATTGAATCGAGGAAGAAGTGACCATTATGTTCATAAAATGACGATTTTAAGGAAGGACCGCAAGTGTCTCTGGGCCTCAAGTTGATAGCCGTAAATGTCTGCGCCGAAAAGTTCATAGCCGCAAGTGTCAATATAGGGGCAAGCCGCAGCGTCTCTGGACCGCAAGTGTGTGCCGCTAATGTCGCATCACCGTTGTCTCTCAGTTTAAGTGTCCGCAAATGCTTCTCCGCAAATTTGTAAGATGTCCGCAAATACATTTGCGGACATCCGCAAAAGTTTTGTAAATTTTGGTGAAGATACATTTTATTTTTTAAAAGGAATTTTTGTTTTTAAATGATTAACACAAAAAAAACTTTTTCTTTTTACTATGAATAATCGGCTGAGTGAATTTTAAAATGAGGAGAGAGAGAAAATCATTTTTTGCCCACAACATGAAGAAGAAAAATATTAATATTTTTGCTAAAAAAGAATTAAAAAAGGCTGTAGTGTAGTGTACCGGTGGTAAAAGTTCGGGATGTGACATATGTCATTCGATTCGTCTCGACGAGCTGAGTCGAACGGTACCACTCCCTACTTTAGGAAATGATTCTGGACCGAGTTATAGGTCCCTGAAAATCGAAAAACCAAAGGGGGGAGTAAGCTCGATTTTGGGGTGAAAAATTCGAATATGCAAATAATAGCTCATTCGAAAGAGCTCGCCGAGCTGAGTCGAATGACACCAAAATCAACAAAATCTGACTTGATTTGACAAAGTTATGACCGTTTGTTTTAGCTCCTTACCTATCGCCTCTGTAGAGGTTTTTGCTGCTACCGGGCCCCAAGTACATCCAGAGCAAGGGAGATAGGAATAGGGTTATGTTACGAGCCCAGACCCAGCGCCCGTAGACTCCCCGCGAGGCGCGTGCCGCAAAACTCCGCGCGAAGCGCGGAGTTTTGCACAAGCGCCTCGCCGACGCCCCATAGGTTTATGTTGTTTGTTTTTCTATTGTAACTTTGTCCAAACTTTTACAATCAAGCTGATTTTGGTGTCATTCGACTCAGCTCGGCGAGCTCTTTCGAATGAGCTATTATTTGCATATTCGAATTTTTCACCCCAAAATCGAGCTTACTCCCCCCTTTGGTTTTTCGATTTTCAGGTACCTATAACTCGGCCCAGAATTATTTCCTAAAGTTGAGAGTGGTACCGTTCGACTCAGCTCGTCGAGACGAATCGAATGACATATGTCACGTCCCGAACTTTTACCACCGGTACACTACACTATATCCTTAAAAAATTTAAAAAGAAAGCTTCCAAGTTTGCCTAGAATTAGAAGAACTGTTCGACAATTTCGATTTCGGAAAGGAAAAAAGTAAGTCTTAAAATTAATTTAAAGGGTCAAAAAGGGAGTGAAGAAAGTCCTCTGGGGGAGACTCAAAAGTCCCTAATTCGATAAATACAAAAAGGGTACAGTCCGGCGCGCGGCCATAACGGCGCAGAGCCATAACTTGCTTCAAAATTTTCGAATCTTACCAAATTTGGTATTAAATGATTCTTCTCATAGAGCTGAAGCGATTGATACTGAAATTGTTAAGGTCCAGAAATTTTCCAGTATGTTATGGCTTTGCGCCGTTATGGCGTCGCGCCTACTTGGGGCCGTCTCTTGCGAACATGCCCCATTTAATCGCGTTAAGTAGGAGTGTTTTTTCTCATTAAAATTGAATAGTATTTCGTTGTTTTTGTAAAAATAATCTTTTTCGCTGCCAATTGAAGACAAAAAATTAAAAAATTTATTCTGAAGGGAGGTTATTCAAAAATTCTGGTCTGCTATTAAATGGCTTGCGATTAAGTGGGCTACTAATTTAATTTTTAAAGTTTATCTGAAAAATTTTTTAGCTTTTGTAAATTTATTTTTTAGTTAGAATGTTAATTTAAAAATTTAAAAGAGAAAGAAGCTTCTCAAATTTAAGCCTCAACAACAACTCTACAGCAATGGCGTTACGCGGTATCCGCGTTTATGGTTCTTCCTCTTCTACCCAAAATTCAAGCGAATATTCTGTTTTGTTGGAAGCTACTTTAAATGAAAAATATATTTTGTGTCAATCTGGGGGAATGGATGAAATAAGTAAAGAATTGGCTAATTTATTAAAATCTGGTGGGGGATATCAAATGATTTTGGATGGATTTGCGTCTCTTGGAATTTTGCAGTTGGGGGCAGGTTTGTTTGGAAATTTTTTGATGGTTATTGACTTTTGAGAATTCATTTTATTAGGAGGGAACTGACCTTTGGGGAACGAGACTTTTATTTAAAAATTGAGAAAAACAGACCTGCGGATTAACATATTACGGTTCTCGTTTTTGTCCGCAATTTTTGTCCTCAAATCTTCAACGGTGAATCGACTTTTATATTGTACATGTAGAATTTATTTCTCGTTGTATTTCATTTAGGAATAGGCCGGGCTTAGAAAAAAGTTGGGTCGTGTGTTTGAAAATTTCTTAGGCCGGGTTTGGGGTCTAAAAAGTCCAGGTTTGAGTAATCTGCTCATTCCTGTTATGTACCACAACATGTCTCCAGCTCGGGAGCAGAGATCTTTACGGCTTTGCTCTTGAGTTGGATGATCACTTAATTGAAATTCAGAAAAAATCCTTTTTGAATTTTCAGGAGATGATTATCTTGTATTAATAATTGGTGTACTTTCTGTTGGGCAAATTTATACTTCTGACATTGTTTGTGTTTTCTAGTTAATTTTTGTTTAATTTTTTCTGTTTTTTTTCTAGTTTAAAATTTCCAACGTAAAATTTGTTTCACTTATTCGAAGAGAATCTGAGCCGTCCGACCAAAGAATTATTGAGGTTATTTTTGACTTGATTTTTGATTTATTTTTTTGTTTTGTGATGCTTTTGTGTTATCCCAAACTGAGACATTTATGCTGGCTCATAATGGTCAGATATCCAATATATACTCCCAATATTTATCTCAAGAAGTCATCACTTCCTCGAATAACTTAACTTTTTATTGAGACGAATAATATGGACAATGGGAATTCACGACGTTTTTTTTGTGTCGAGCTTAGGGGTGGGCTCAACTGAAAAAAATTTTCTGCAGTCCGCAGTTTTAATTTTAAAATCCCAGTCGCAATTGTGTCTGGCGCTGGTCGAAATCCCTATTTCCAAAATTGGGATCAGATTTCAAATATGTCTGCTAATTCCCTAGTATGGATACTCTGACCATTATGAGACCAGTAGACTGTTCCGCAGGAATAACCCATAAGTACCTGTTCCTTTTTAAGCTTCAAAGGTTTCTCTCTTCTGGCAACTTTTATTTTTCAAATTCAACTGTTCGGGATAAAACGTTTGATTTAACTGTGTCATCTCAAAGGAAACAGACGAGTGAGCAAATGGAAGATGATTTTCGGTTTTTCTGGTTATTTTTTTAAATTTTTAGTAGTAATTTTGTTAGAAAGAAAAAATGAGACGGTCGATTAAATTATCTTAAAAAATAAGCCTGTAAATTTTGTCCGCAAAATATTTGCAGACATTAGTGTAAGAAGGAATGTTTTAGTTTTTAGCCTCCCCCTGAAATCAACACCCTTAGTTACGCCCTTGGGTCATTTATACCTTTTCTAATCACCGATATAATAAGTATCTTTGCGGATTGTCCGCAATTTTTACGGACTATCCCCAGGTTGTAGGGAGGGGCTTCTGGGATAAAACCTGCCCACTCCCCCCCCCCCCCCCCCCCCGAAATGGGATAAAGAGAAAAATTTGGGGAGTGGATTGAGCAAAAAATCAAAATTTTTTCGCTCCAAATTCAAAAACTTTTCGTCTGTGAAGCTAAAAATATGATTCTAAAAAACTCTCTTGCTGTCCGCAAATTTATAAAAAGAAATTTTTAGGAACAGAAATTTGTCATTTCCATTGGAAAGATTTGGAATAGACCCAAACGATTGGATTGTTCGTTGTTTATGCGGTTCTGTTTTAATTAGAACAATTTATTTGGGGCATAGAACTGCAAAGGTTTTTTTTAAAAAAATTTTTTTATTTAAAAAAATTGTTTAAAGATAATGCTTATATCGAGACTAAGTTTTGAACATGTCGGAACTCGTTTTAATGTTAGAGGAATTAATGTGAGGTTTAAAAAAAATTTTTTTAACAAGTCTTTTTTTATTCTTCCCCCTTTATTTTTTTTAATTTTCTTTTAGGACGATGGAAACGTTGCCAATTTTGTGGAAACAGAACAGGTATAGAAAATTTCTGTTATTAAACTTCATTATGAGATACATTTATGAGAGGAACTTCAACAACATTTTTAAAAATTTTTTTTGGCTGCGTGCCTATCAGGGAGTCCTACCGTCCCGATTCCCGAAAGTTGGGAATTTCCAACGTTTTTTTGGGTCGAGATCCTTCCCGAAATAGGGAATTTTGTTTTTTTATTGGCATGATCTCAGGTGCTTACATATGTAAGTGATGGGCGCGGTTACTCGTAACCCGGTCTTTTTTTTTCTACCCAAACCCCAACCCGAGAAATTTTCCAAACCCTGACCCGACTTTTTTCTCAACCTGGCCCGTCATTGGCCTACACCAAAATATTTTTCTATTACTCCTGGTTATTAAAAATTTAATCGAACATTTTTCAGATTGTTACTTTTGATAAACAAGAATGTTCATTTCTTCAAATCAGAGGATCGGTAGGGGGTTTTTCGTAATTTTTTTTGTAAAAAATTTTTTTAACAGATTCCCCTATTTTGGGAACAACCAGGAATTAATGTGGGTGCACACACTGTGAAAATGAAGCCTTTGGAACTTTCATTGGTTGCGTTAGAAAAGTATTTTTATTTTTTTTTAAATTTATTGGAAGGGAACCGAATTTTATTGGTCACTTTTAAATTCCCAAAAAAAATTTTTCAATCAAATTTCAAAAATATTTTTGGAGTTTTTTCTCTTGTCTGAAATTTTTCTTTACACAATTATTAGATGTAGAAAAAAGCCTCTCTTTTTTTCTATCCAATCTCACAAGTAGGGTTGTCGGTTTGAAACCGAACGAAGAACCGAAGGCTTCTGTTTCGGTTAGCCTAAGAATTTGATGAAACTGAAAACCCTATTCACAAGAGAACTAATTCGAGCTGTGCATTTTTTTCTAAAAAGGGGAGAGGAAGGGGCAGGAATCGACACCTGCAATTTTTCTTTTTTGGCTTGAAATTGGGGTTTGCACTTTACTTACAACAGCAAGTGTCAAACTTGCTGCTTCTTTTTGTTTTTTCCTATAGAAAAATATGGGGAGACCTTTACTCCTTTACCGTTAAACCGTGTCCGGAAATTTGGGGAGTGGACACTTGGGGAGTGGACAATTGGGGAGTGGAAATTTGGGGAGTGAGCGGACATTTGGGGAGTGGACAATTGGGGAGTAGACATTTGGGTAGTAAGTATTAAAAAAAATTTAAAAATAGATTTTTCGGACAATAAAAATAATTTATACACTAGTGAAGGTGTTTTTGTGGAGTTTCAAAGATTTTAAAGATATTTTGATGTCTGTAGCCGGTTGAGTACACCCATAAAAGTAGGATAGCAACCTCCCTTCGGGGGCTGGTATGTCGGTGATCGGGGTTTGCTGGTAAAGGCATGTCGAGGTTCGGAGTCGGGATTGACTTTTCGGTCGGGGGTCATGGTTTCACTAGAAATTAGGGTAGCACAAAACCGTTTAGCTAAACGATAATCGGTATATGGTAAATGGGTTTTTTGGTAAAATTAAACGGAATGGTATAGTCTTAGATAAACGGCATAAACGGGATACTGTCACTCTAGACGGCGTTTAACTAACCTCTCAAAATTCTCAAAATTTTCGCATGCGGTGATGAAAAAGGAAGAAATCTAGCTTCTTAGCCTTCAAATATTCTTAAACGTTTTGCCTGCGGCGCTAAAAACGATACAGTGGGAGCTTTGACATTCGACGAAGCTCGACGAGTTCTATAACCTAAGATTGACTGACCACTTTTTAATACGTTGAGCAAGGAAAAAAGTGGGGGAATTGAATTTTACCCTTTATAACTCCACAAAAACACCTTCACTGTGTATAAATTATTTTTATTGGCCAAAAAATCTATTTTTAAATTTTTTTAATACTTACTACCCAAATGTCTACTCCCCAATTGTCCACTCCCCAAATGTCCGCTCACTCCCCAAATTTCCACTCCCCAATTGTCCACTCCCCAAATGTCCACTCCCCAAATCTCCGGGAGCCAGCGCGGGAATCATTTAGCAACCTTTTTAAAGGTTGCTAAATGATTCATTCTTCCTTTACAAAATATATTTTCCATTAAAAAATATAATTTTAAATTTTTTAAGACATTTTATTCAATTAAAACGTGTTTATGGCAAAATTTTGGTTGTTAATTTGCTTGGATCAAAAAAGGGTGAATTTGCATTGTCGACAGCATTTCAGGTTTTTATTTTTAATTTTAACTGAAAAAAAAATTTTTGGATACTCAAAAATGGGTCGAATTATTCATATTAGGTTCGTCTTGGTAATCGAAAGGGCTCGAAAATTAACTAGTTTCCCCTTTTTTTGGTTTTCAATTTTGAGAACCTATATCTCTCGGTCCATGAGCATTTTCGTTCCTAAAAAGTGAAAGAGAGAAGTTGGCTCATTTACTCTTTAAACGTCTAAATTTTGACTGGCCATAACGTGACCCAAAATCATTTTGCAAATACCTATATGGATATCACTTCGCAAAATAAAATCGTTGGCTCACAAATGACTCACGGACCCGACCAATTCGACCTATTTTTGAGTGTGTCCTTAACTCTATTATATCCTATAATTTTTTTAATTTTTTTATTTAAAGTCAGCATTAAAATCCTCTTCCCATTTTGATGTAAAAATTGTTTCATTTGATTACCATGCAGAAGTTAAACAATCTAAAGAAAATTTGAGATTTTTGGTTAAACAAATAAGTTCATTCTTTGATGAAAATGATTTTTTTTATTTGGATGATGGAGTTGTTTTGAGGTTTTTTTTTTGAAATTTTTAAAAATAATTTTTGAAGGGGGCTAAATTTAGGGGGTATTAGACTTTCGCTCAAAGACACGGCCAAACTCAACTTTTTTATTAAAAAAAATTTACAATTGGAACTCCAAATAATACTAAAAACCCTTAAAAAAGGTCCTTGAAACATTTTTTGAAAAAAGTCTAAAAATAATTGCTTCGAATGGGTTTGAACCCATGATCCTCTAAATTGACTGAAAATGTTTTTGTGTCCGTGTAAACAAAATATTGACCTCAATAAGGTAATATAATAAATAGGGCTGTCTATGACCGTTTAATTTTTATCTATAGAGACCCCTTATATCCTCAAAAAATTTTCCGTTTGATCCGCCATAGGAGGGTCAAACGGTCTCAGGAACACCCCTTATATGTATGTATTAACTGAAAAGAATGGGAGACGGCACAAATTTTTTATAGTTTTTTTTTCTGGCTCCTCTATTTTCTACATTTTTTTAAAGATGATAAAAAATTTTTTTAATTTTTAGAAGACAACACGGAGTAATTAGGACCAATTGTCTTGATAATCTTGACAGGACAAATAGTGTACAGACGGTTTTTTTAATAATTTTTCTAATTTTTTTTAAATTTTCCCTTTTAAGTTAATCGGAATCAGAGCACTTTTCAATCAATTAACTTGCCTTGGTGTAGAAAAATTTAAATCTAATATAATTTTGAGATGTGAAGAATTAGTTAGGGATATGTGGCAAAAGAATGGGGATCAATGCAGTTTAATTTATGCTGGAACGGGGGCTTTGGAAGGAAAATCGAAGGTTTTTTTTCTTTTTTAAATTGAAATGGGTTACTTGAGAGAGTGTAAGGGAGAAGTTTTCCAAAATTTGCCTGGGACGCTAAAAAAATAGAAAATATGCATACAAAAATAGTTGCGTTCGAACGTAAAAGTAAACGCGGTCGAGTGTTTGGCACCTCCCTATTATAGCTCTTCTTGAAATCCGACCGACCCCTGGATACCAGGAAAGTGCGAGTTTCGTCTTTCCCCGATTTTCGCTTTTTTTGACGTTCGTCTTTTGTTTTTTAAAATCACTTTCGGCATCCCTGCTGGATACGCTTTTGTTACTCGACTATCATTTACTTGTCCATGGTTAAACTTTTACCCTTGATTTTTACTAGAGAATGATTTTTTTGAGTTTTTTTTTTGTAGGTAAGAAAAAGAATTTTTTGAAAAATTCTTTTATAGACAAACACAAAAGCCCTTTTTAAGTTGAGAGATGCAAGTCGTTCAATAGTTCGAACAATTCAAAATAATTTGATGGATTCTTCAAAACAAGAAGCTTTTGATTTGATTTTGTATGGACATTTACTTGCTGATTCTAATTTTGTTAAAATTTCACAAATTTTTCCTTCTTCGTTATTGAAAGGTTTTTTTTAATTTTTTTGGTACTTTGTTCATATTCCACCCATTCCATCCGAAAGTCGAGTCAGGCATATGTTAAATGTCTCGAAAAAAACTCGTATCGCTCGGTCCGACTCGATAACGTAGATCCTATTTATGAAGGAAAAAATTTCAGCAACGACAAAAATCAAAAATTATTAGAGAAAAGACACCATTCTGAGTCAGATAAAATTCAAATAGGAAAGGAGGGACTGTCGATTAGAGTTTCACCGGAATTTCCGATCCTTGGATCCGGAACTCAAATTGGATCCGGTTCCGGTCAAAATTTCGGTTCCGGTGAAACTTTAGTGTCGATACAAGGATATCAGGGTTGAGAAAATAAAGTGGGGTCGGTTTTGAACATTTAGCTCTAGCCTGTATTCGGGGAACCCGATGACATTTCTGGTGGATATGAACAAAGTGTGCCAAGTTTTTGAAATTTGAATTAAAAAATTTTTTTTAATTTCAGCCACTTCCTATTTTTACGGTTTTTTTAAAATTTTATTTTTAAAAAATTAATTTTTTAAATTTAACTAGAATGCCCAAATTTGGAAGCTTTTGTTGAAAGAGAAAAAGAATTTTGTGTTCAAGTACCTTTAAAAATTTTTTGTGGAACTTGGAATGTTAATGGAGGGAAGAATTTGAATAATGTTGCTTTTAAAGGGGGAAATTTGCTAAATTCCTGGATTTTTCCTGAAAATTTGTGTAAGGAGGTTTTTTTGATTTTTTTGGGTTTTTAAGAAAAGGATTCAGATAAAATAAAATTGCAAGGGAATTTTAAGGGGGTTTTTGTTGTGAGTTTTTCTTTTTTTACCTCTTCATTAAATCAGTCAAAAATTATTAATTTTTTGGATATACATATAAACAAGTTGTGAAAAGCGTCAGTTTTTGATTGTCATGAAAAAAATTTGAGTTTCAGATTTTTTGTCATAAATGTGGATAGTATTGGGGCTGTCGGTTCAGATTAAACAGGCTAATCGAGGATTTTTTAAATTCGATTCTTTATTTCCAAAAATTTTTTCAAGAATCAAAAACCAAATCCTTTTAAAACAACTACTCAAAATTAAAAACATTTTTGACTGATTTTAGTTGCAAGGGGCAAGGGTGGGGAATAAGGAGGAAGAAAATGAAAAAAATGGGGTCTCTAAAGTTTAAAAAATTTCCCTTAAAAATTCTGCACTCACAAAAAAAATTTTTTTTTCTTTTTTAGTTAATAAAGACGCCTTAAATTATGATTTAATAGCAATTGGTTTTGAAGAAATTGTTGATTTAAATACAAATAATTTGGTTAAAGCAAGCACTACAAATCAAAGAATATGGCGGGATGGATTGAAACAAACTATTGAAATTTGGCAAAAAAATAATTTTGGACAAAATGCTGAAAATTTTGTTGTTTTGTGTTGTGAACAATTGGTTGGTTTGGAGGGGGAGGGGGATTTTTTAATTAAAAATTTTTTTTTTGATTTTTGGGAGTGTTTGCTAGAAGGGGTTTTCGAACTTCTAATTTCTGCCTCCCACCTTTTCATTTTCCAAAAATTTCCAAAATTTTTTTGCGCTGTTCCGATACCTCAAAAATGTCAATTACTTAAAATCCTTAAATTTTAAGAAAAAGGAAAAAAATTTCTAACTTCTTGATCTTCTAAAAGGTTCCCTTGGTACTTTTACGTTATCCTCTCCCCCACACACAAGCGTACCGTTCTCTTTTCCGACATCGGACATTCCAATAGAGTTGGGAAGCATTCGTTTTTTTCGAATAAGAAGGGAGAACAGACCCTTATTTAAGGAAATAATTTTGTCTCTTAACCATAGATCCCAAACACAAAATTTTATTGTCCCTAAAAGATAACCTTAAAAAACAAAAAAAAAACGAATTTATTAAAATTGAATTTTCAATTTTGCCGGCTAAATTGAATTTTGCCTAAATTATTTTTAATCCTTTTATGTTTTTAGGTGGGTGTCTGTTTAATCCTTTTTGCTCGTTCCTCCCTTTTAAATTCAATAAAAGATTTGGCTATAGAAGAAATTAAAACTGGAATGGGGGGAACTACAGGAAATAAAGGCTCTATAGCTGTTCGTTTAACAATAAATTCAACGGGAATTTGTTTTGCTTGTTCTCATTTTGCTGCTGGACAAAATGAAATTGCTACAAGAAATGCTGATTTTCATTCGGCTTTGAAAAGATTAAAATTTCCTATGGTAAATTTAAATTAAAAAAATTTTTTTTAATTGGAAACATTCCCTTATACTTTTGGAGTCTTATAGTGATTGTATTTAGTTTTAAGGGTACCTTAGTGAGGGATATTATATAGAGAGTTATCCCTACCAGAAGACCTTTTTAAAAATCCTGTACCAGAAGACCTTTTTAAAAGCTCACTTTAACTAAAGTTTTTTAAATGTTACAAGTGTATTTTATAAGGTTTAGTGGGTTAATGTTTTGTTTTGTTACAAGAAAGTTCGTTTTAAAGGGAACGAGAACCATTTCTTTGATTAGACAGTGATGAAAGACTGGAACCTAAAATTTTAAAATTTTGAGGAATCTTATTTTCCAGTCTCTGCTGCCATCCTTCTGAGTCTGATCTCTTTTTTAAATTTTTTTAAAAATTTGGTCTCAACACCAATTTTTCCTTTGACTTATAAGTAAGGTTCACCGGTTCTGGACCGAACCGAAGAACCGAGGATTTTTCGGTTCGGTTTCGGATATCCGAAGAATCTCTAGGAACTGACAACCCTACTTATAAGCTTCTATAGGACTCAAATTTTTATTTTGGCTTGTAAGGGTTCATTGGACTTATAAAAACTAGACCAGTGTCCTTGGAACCCATTTTTTTGTTTGTTTAAAAATTTCAATAGACTTCCGATTGTCCGTAAATTTTACTCATCCTTTTTGTCCTAAATTAAACTAATAAAAATATTTAAAGGGTCGAGGCTTACAAGATCACGATGTTGTTTTTTGGTTGGGTGATTTTAATTATCGAATATCTCTTTCAGGTAAATTCTAAAAAATTTTTTTGAAGGGTTTTTAATTAAATATATTAAAAGGTGATGAAGTAAAAAGAGCAATTAATTTAAACAATTTTGAATATATTGCTGAATATGATCAACTGTTACAACAAAAGAATATGGGAAATGTAATGAAAAAATTTTTTGTGGCTATGTCCAGATTACACATCCACTAGCATACACACTTGCACGTAAATAATTATGCGTGTTAAAAACCTCCTGGAACGGTATTGTGCATGTGTTTCTACTTCAAAATAGATTTTATGGTACTAAAGTCCAGTCTAGGTCAAGGGTATAGCCAGAGGTAGCCCCCGAAATCGACCCCCTGGCTACGCCCTTGACTTAGGTACTTATCGCAATTGACTGGAATTTTATTGATCGCGTAAGTTTAATTGGACATATAAAAAGATGTGAGAGTGGATGCGTAATTTGGACAAAATGCCAACTTTTTTGGATTTTTAAAATTAAAAAAATCTTTTTTTGAAAATTCCCTTTTTTAGGTTTTCACAAATTTTAATGAAGGCCAACTTAATTTTCCTCCAACTTATAAATATGATACTTTTAGTGATGATTATGATACTTCAGATAAATGCAGGCAAGATTAATTTTAAAAAATTTTAAGAATTTTTTAAAATTAAATTTTTTTTTGTAGAACCCCAGCATGGACAGATCGTGTTCTTTGGATGGATAAAAATAATTTGGTGCAGTTAATACAGTTAGTTCTTTTATTTTTTAAAAGATTTTTGGAGGGCGTAGAATTTTTTTAAATTTTCTTTAATTAATGTGGCCCATATCGATACCCCTTTTCTAGTGTCTGTGAGACCTTCTTTAACAATTAGAAAAATCTTTTTAACCCGATTTTTTGGGTTTTTCTGTTCCTCCTTTGTACAAAAATTTAATATATTTTTTAGCACCATTCGATAGCATACACTCGACTTTCTATAGAGAAGTGTTGTCCGTTTTTTCCAAAATTAATTTTTTGACGAGCTATGGCCAGTCAAAATTTTTGTTTTTTGGGAGTGTTTTAGGGGGGAAATGAGTGGGGAAAGAATTTAAAAATTAGAAAATAATTTTCCTAAAAAATTTTTTTCCTTCTAGTTATGGCCGTTCAGAATTAAAAACTTCAGATCACCGTCCAGTATATGCAATATTTCAATTAAATTCTTTAAAATTTGATTTTGACAAGGCTGGGCCGATAATTCGGGATATTATTTGGTTTTTTTTTGAATAATTTTTTTGAAATTTTTATTTTTCCTTAAAGTTCTATTGGCCCTCCACATTCTTGTGTTCAATGCTTTATTTCTAACAATTCTCTTAATGTGTTCCCAAAACAATTGTGCAATGAAATTTTTATGAAGCTGTGTGAACTTGGCAGTGTTCCTAAACTTTCAAAGTTTGTGTTTGTTTATTGTTTTGTTAATTTTGGGAGGAATTTGTTTAAATTGGGGGTTTTGAAAGAATTTTTTAAAATCCGTAAAAATTGTCCGCAAATTTTATTTTTTGAATTTGTAAAATATTTTTTGAAAATCCAAAATGGAGGTTGATCTGGGACCGGAATCAGTCACTTTTTGAGAATTTTCTGAGTTTTTTGCTACTGGTATGGGGTTTTTTTTTTGAATTTCTGGTCCAAAATGCGACACATGTCGTTGAATCGAATTTACATATAAACTAAGCCTATACATATGTAGACTTTTTTAAAATCATGATTTTTTGCGTTTAATGCTCTTTTGTTTCATTTCGTTGGAATTGTTATTTAACGGGAATTTTTGCGGATGAAATTTTAATCCGCAAAATTTGTCCGCAAAATTTTTTTAAATTTTTTGCGGACAATATTTTTAATCCGCAAATATTGTCCGCAAAACTTCTTTTAAAAAATTTTTTTTAGATTAGAAGGACAATATTTATTTATCATTTTCAAAACTGGATTGGATGCTTTAGCAGCATTAAGTATGGATGGAATAATTTTATCAACAGGGCAAGAATTGAAAGTTGAACTTAAAAATGAAGGAAGAGGGAAAGGGGGAGGAGGAATTGAATGGTCTGATAAAATTATTGAAAATGTAATTAAAGCTTTGGAAAAATCAAAAAAAGAAGAAAAAGAATATTTAATTAGTAAAAAAATAAATAATGATAATAAATTGTTGGATGGAGAAGAAATTTTAATTGATGATGAGGAGGTTGATGATTTGGCTGGTGAAGTCGAAAACGATTTCTCTATAATTAACATTTCGGATGTGCCAAAATGATGAAAAACTTGTTTCTGCACGACTTTAAAAAGATTTTTTTACTTAAAAAACATTGCTAAATTTATTACAAATTTTTAAAAGTTTGAAGAATGGACGTGAAATTTACACAATTTTATTTTTCCCCCTATTAGGGTTGGGGGCCCGATCCGGCCCGGTTCGTAAGATCGAGTCGGGCATTGAATTTTGGTCCGAAGAAGACTCGGTCGGGCCAGCCCGATAGAACTGAGGCCAGAAAAAAAAGACTCGAATATCGGCTCGGCTTGAAAACCCCAACCCTACCCATAATTTTATTATTTTAATCTTTACAATTTTGCAGCCTTTTCTCGAGGGTAGGGTATTTGGTGTAGTTGGAAAAGTTTTGGTTTTCATCGTGAAAGTGTTTGGGGTTCGAATCCTTTTGATGGAAAAATTTTTTATTTTGGTCTAGAATGGGTGTTTAAAGCTTTATTGTTAGAAAAAAATTTTTGAAAAATTTTTAGAAAATTTCAAAAAAATTTTTTGAACAAATTTTCGAGTGAAAGGCTGCAAAATTAAATTTTTAGTGTAAAAATAAAGGTACTTATAGTAGTAGTCCCAATATATTATTAATAAATATATAAATTAAATATTTCAACACCCGATGATGATCTCTTTATTTGACTCTTTTTTACATTCCAAAAAAATTTTTAATTAAAAATTTGAAAAAATTTTTTTGAATTTGCTTATTTGTTTTTCTAAAAACTTTTGTTATTTTTTATTTTTTTTTCGTACTTGTGGGTTATCCCTACAGACTTTTTTGCGGACTGGTTTTGCGGACACAATTGTATACGGAATGGTCATTTTCTCCTTCCCTCTCTCCTATGCACTTGTCAATCAATCAAACAGGGTTATAAATGGAGTACAATTGTGTCCGCAAAAATTGTCCGCAAAAAAAGTCCGCAAAAAAAAAGTCCGCAAAAAAAAAGTCCGCAAAAAAAGTCCGCAAAAAAAAGTCCGCAAAAAAAGTCCGCAAAAAAAGTCCGCAAAAAAAAGTCCGCAAAAAAAGTCCGCAAAAAAAGTCCGCAAAAAAAGTCCGCAAAAAAAAGTCCGCAAAAAAAGTCCGCAAAAACAGTGTAGGAATAACCTACAAGTACCATTTTTCCTTTAATTTTAAATTTTTTTTTCAGTTTATTTATTTAAAATGCCTAGGTAGTTTTTGGCCTATTTTTCTGGTTGTGATGTCTTCTCTAATTAGAATTGTCTTTCTCCTCTTTTGTCAACTGCCATGTATTCATCTCTTCAATTTGGACACAGAATATCCTATTTATAAATTTGGTTCGCCTAATTCGTGGTTTGGATTTTCTGTAGCTGCTCATTTTAGAAGCGATGGTCCGAGGTTTGTGTTTAGGTTTTTAAAAATATTTTTTTAATTAATATTTGGGTAGGTCGATTCTTTCCCATTATGCTTCCAAGAAGTCTAATTTTTATTCACAACTCGGACTTATATTTAGGGAAGCCAGTCTAATTATTGGGAAAATCGGCTGATCGATATTAACACTAGACATCGAAAGTAAGATTGAGAATGTGATCCACAACTAACTCTTGACCAACTAAATCCTTTATATGCACTTTTCCCTACTTCCCTTTGGATTTTATAGTTCCTTTAGATTTTCACGTTTTCCATGAATTTCACTTGCGGACAAAACTTGCGTCTTTTTTGGGTTCATATTATGGATGACCGGGTTAATTAAAAAATCTAGTCGGGTTTCTTCGGTTTTCAAAATTTTCTTCTGATCGAATTTCGGGTCAAAAAATGGTTCCTTTGGTTTTTACAGACGGCCTTCTAGGCGGGAACTTGCTTAGTTTTCCATTAATTTCACTAAATAAAATTTTGCGGACAAAACTTGCGGACTTTAGAAACATAACGGAAAGCATTCAATTTTTCAGTATCCTTGTCGGCGCCCCAAAATGGACTTCAGGTCAACCAGGAACTTTAAAATCTGGAGCAGTCTATGCCTGCAAACCAGACTCTACCAATGGAAATCAATGCCAACTTCTTTCAATTGAATACCCAAATTTGCAAGATGCCAAAAAACCTCCAAATTTGTTGCATGGTAAACATTTACACCCTGAGGGAAAGAATGGACAATTGTTGGGATTTTCTGTCTATAGTAGTGGAATGAGGGAAGAGGAAAGCAGTAAAGCTTTGGTTTGTGCTCCTCTTTTGCGGTGGGGGCAAAATGCTTATACTGACGGTTTGTTAAAATTTTTTAAGGGGGTTTTATGGGTTTCTTCATTTTTTTAATGGGGTTCTCCCCAATTATTTTCTTTCCAAAAATATCCATTTTTTAATTACTCAAGAATTTGTTTAATACGCAAATTCTGTCCGCAAAAATTATCCATCTAACAATAAGAATCCCATTTTCTTTAAAAAGGAAATAGGGAAAATTACTTACAAAAAAACATTATTTTCTCACAAAATTGGAGAATTTTGGGAGTTTTTTTTTTGCAAATTCCCCGACCCTTTCCCTTTCATCTAGCTAATATAGTAATAGGAAAAAACTATAATATTTCCGTGACTCTTCGAAAATTTTTTTTCCGACTCACTCCCTAACCAATTAAAAACAATCCAATTTAACACCCTAGTTAAGTTCAACAAAAAAACATTCCTAGTTAACCAAAAATTGATTGTTCAATAACATCCTGAGAATTCTCTGGTTTTCAAACGGCTACTCTTTTTTACGTTGTTTTTTCCATAATCTGATTTGCGGACAAAATTTGCGGATTTTCTGCAAATTGAAAATTTTTTTAAAAATTATTTCAAAGCTTTTTTGACTTGAAAAAGCTAACTTTTTTTTATTATATTTAGGTGTTTGTTACTTACTTGGAGCCGACTTGAACCATAAGGGAATAATCAATACATGCGGGCCTTTGCCGAAGAAGGACAGAGTAAAAAAAATTTTTTTCAAATTTTTTTTTTCAAAAATTTTATTTTTAAGCATAATGACTATGGATCTTGTGAACAAGGCTTTTCAGCATTTATAGACTCAAATGTTACTCTTACAGGAATTCCTGGTGCAAGAAAATGGACGGGAGGAGTTTTTGGTTTTTTTCTGTTAATTTTTAAAAATTTTAAAAATTTCTAGCAAAATACGATTTTGTTGGGTCTGGAGGTTTTGTGGACTCTGTGGACCGTCGAACAATGGAATTGGATAAAAATCAGGGAGGTGTGCTTGCATTGTTGGCTTCACACGATTATTTGGGATATTCTGTCCATTATGGTCGTTTTGGTTTTTCTCATGAAGACGAAAAGAATTTTACGGTTTGTGAATTTTTGAGAATATTTTAAAAATATTTTGGACATTAAAAATTCAATTTTTGACTGCTACCCTTTAAAAATGCAAAAATAAATCCCAGCTAGGTGGAAAGACAGTTTGTCCCATTTTTTATTTTTTCCTCCCTACTCGGCAGAGAAATGTTATATCTAGTTGATTATGATACCATTCGATTCGTCTATGTGAGACAAATCGAATGATACCAAAACTGACCCGATATGACTTTGTTCAGTAAAATTATGTGGAAAAATGCTTCGCTGGGACCAAATGTCTCATCAATTAAAAAATTTTTTTTCTGATTTTCCATACAATTTAAAAGGTTGTAAGTGGTGCTACACGTTTCAATCAAACCGGTGCTGTAATTTTTCTTCCTTTTCGACGCAATTTTCATGCTGAAGAAGGTCCAAATCTTGGTTTATTAGAAGACCATTTTATTCTTTCTGGGCGTCAATTAGGTTCTGGTTTTGGAAGTAGTTTGGCTGTTTTGGATTTAAATAATGATGGGTATATATTTTTTGAATAAATTTTTTGGTTTTTATAAGTCCTCGCAAGAGATAGCGAGGGATCCGATGGACTAATTGTAAGAGGGGTATCCGCCATTTGGAGAGATTAAGGGGTATATAGAGGGATGTGGGCTGATATTGAAGACATCAAAATCCTCCCCGGTATTTATTCAAGTCCCCTTAATTCTTAGATATCCCTCCAAATCCTCTTGTATCTCGTTAATCCCGGTAGCCCTTTAAATCCCTTGAACACTCCAAACTCTCTGATAAGTGAAAATCTCTGAGAATTAGGGGGATTAGTCTCGATGGATCTTGTCCCGTTCTTCGACCTTTTGAAAACATCCTGTTACGGGATCCCATAAATGCGATTTTTCCTCACTCTAAATATTAGAGGTTGGCAAAATCGCACTTACGGGATCCCAGTCGGGATTTTTTTCTTAACCGATGCCAGGACGGGATCCCGAGGGGTAAATCCCGAAAATCCCGAAGATAAAGAAATCCGGGCTTTCGAGATCGGGCTCCCGGATAAACCCGTCGGGATCCCGTCCAGCGCCAACCTCTACTAACACTAAATATAACATAAAAAAATTTTTCTTTAATAGATTTGATGATTTACTTGTTGGTGCTCCTTTCGAATATTTTTATGATGAAGAAGAAAATGAAAAAGGAGGGGCTGTTTATATTTATTTTTCTAAAGGAATAAAATTAGGCAAAGGACAACAAACATCAAACAATTTTATTTTTTATCCCCCAATTATAATTAGAGGAACAACTAGACATTCACATTTTGGGGCGTCTTTAGCTTCTATTGGAAATTTAAATAATGACAAAAATGGATTTAAAGGTTTCAGATTTTTTTTTGAAGTGATATTTTGAAAAAAAATTCTGATTTTTCGGAAGAATTCCGATTTTAAATTCTGGTCGTTCATGAAATTCTGGTAAAATCAGAATATTCCAGAACCAGAACATTCCAGAACGGGCAACATTTCTGGTCATTATATCAGAATTCTGATTTTTAGGAAAAATTCTGATCCAAAATTCTGGTCGTTCTGCCAGTTCTGGTTTTAATTTCCAAAAAATCAGAATATTCCAGAACCAGAACATTCCAGAACGGTCAGAATTTTTGGTCAATATATCAGAATTCTGATTTTTAAAAAAAAGTTTTGATTTTAAATTCTGGCGTGCTGAAAATTCTGTTTTAATTTTCAGAAGAACCAGAACATTCCTGAACAGTCAGAATTTTTTTGTCAATATATCATAATTCTGATTTTTAAAATTTTTTCTGATTTTAAATTCTGGTTGTTCTGAAATTTTTTATTTAAATTTTCAGAACAACCAGAATATTCTGATTTTTCAGAATATTCAAAAATATTAAAGAAAAAAATATTTTTTAACACAGATTTTGTTGTTGGCGCCCCTTACCATTCTTCTGGTTCCGGCGCTGTTTTTGTCTTTCACGGCAATGAACGTGCACACTTTTCAACTAAACCTGCTCAACAAATTTATGCCTATAATTTACCAAATAAACCTAATTCTTTTAAATCTTTTGGGTTTTCTTTGGCAAAGGGTGTTGATTTGGATGGGGATGGATATGATGAATTGATAGGTTTTTTTTGTTAAATTTATTTTTAATAAAAAATTCGCAAAATTAGACAAGTCCGCAAAAATTTGTCCGCAAAATCGTCATGTTTTTGTATTTTGCTGATTTTTTCTGAAAATATTCTGGTCTAAAAATTCTGAAATTTTCTGATTTTAGTTCTTCTAGTTGCAAATTCAGATTAGCTTGAGCCTTGTCTTACAATTATTGATTAACTATACTCTTGAGATTAACACTAAAAATAGAAACTATAGCTTGTTGATCTCGTGAGTAAGGTTGGCGGTTCCGGGTATCCGGAACTGAAAAAACCTCGGATATCCGGAAATTTTTGGTTCAGATATTGATTCCGGATATCAGTAGATTTCCCAGGAACTGCCAAAACTTACTCGTGAGTTTTCATCCATTTTCGATTTGCTAGCCAGCTTTCTTTGCGAGTTATTGGAAAATAGAAAATTAAGGATTAGGGCAAATTGAGCGTAACGGAAATTTGGGCAGTAAAAATTCAAAAAAAAAATTTTTTTAAGTTGGAGCACCAGAAACGAATGTTGTTATAATTTTTCGTTCAAAACCAGTTTTGGAAGTTAAATTGGGTCATCAATTTGAACAAAAACATGTTAAAATAAGTACTTCTAGAAGTGATTGGGGGGAGTGTGCTTTGGGACCAAGCTGGTTTGTTTAAATTTTTTTTAAAATTTAATTAGTAAAATATAAGTAGGGAAATTTATAAAAAATTTTTTTGGAATTTTTAAAATATTTTTTGGTTAAAAAACCCTTCTCCCCCTTCCCTCTATTCTCCCCCTTCCTATTTTAAATAATGTTTGTTGTGGTATAGTGGGAAAATTTTTGTTTAGTAGAAGAAATCATCGAGGGTTCGAACCCCACTGTTGGGCAATTGTTTTATTTTAAAAAGCGCAAGGCTATTTAAATTAAAATTCGTTAAAAATTAACTAAAATTACCAAAAAAATTTTTTTCCAAATTTTAAGATAAATTTAATGAAAATTTGGACGTTTATTAATTTTTAAAATTTAATTTTCTTCCTATAATTTTTTCTAATTTTTCCCTCTTTCTTTCCACAGTTTTTCCTTGTCAACTTCAATATTTTTATCTGATCGAAATTTGACAGCTTTAAAACAATTAAATAAATTGTTTGGTATTGGACAATCCCCATTTTTGTGTAAACTTGAAGTTTTGCCCTTTGCTAGAGGTGTTCTCCCACGTGCTCTGTTTACTTCTAATGGGGAGAATAAAATTAGTTGGCCGTGTGGATCGAATGCTGTTACTAGGGAAGAAATTAGCCATCAAAAGTTATACATTCCGGTTAGTTCTGATTTAAAAAAAAATGTTATGATTTTTGGAAGTCTTCTGATCTGAGTTCTGATTTTTTAGAATCGTTCTGGTTCTAGTTTTAATTTTTCAGAACCGTTATGATTTTAATTCTGATTTTTCAGAAATGTTCTGATTCGAGTTCTGATTTTTCTGAAAAGTTCTGATTCGGTTCCTGATTTTTCAGAATTGTTCTGATGTAATTTTCTGATGTTTCTGAAAAGTTCTGACTCATGTCAATTTCTGATTTTTCTGATTTGAGTTCTGATTTTTCAGAATCGTTCTGATGTAATTTTCTGATTTATCAGAATCTTATTTAAAAAAAATATTTTTTTTTCAGAGCGGAAACGAAGACTGGACAAATCCTTTACGTTTCAACTTTTCAATTTCTCTACGCAAACCTCAATTAACAACAACAATTAATAATAACAACAATTTATTACCAGCTATTAGCCCGGACCAAACATTTCATATTTTTGGAATTGCTTTTGATAAATTGTGTGGAGATGATAATGAATGTCACACAAATTTGGTTTTGAGTGGGGCTTTGCTTGATTTATCGTTGGGTTTTTTTAAAAAATTTTTGCGGACAAATTTTTGCGGATTAATTTTACGGAAATTTTTTCGTCCGCAAAATTTGTCCGCAAAAATTTTTTGTCCGCAAGATTTTTTTGCAAAATTTTTTCGTCCGCAAAAATTTTTTCGTACGCAAAATTTGTCCGCAAGATTTGTCCGCAAATTTTTTTAAAATTAATTTTTATAGTAAACGTTCTGATGGATTATACCAAGCAAAAGTAACAGAAAAAGATGTCTTAATTCTCAGATTGCTAGTTGAAAATCGTGCAGAACGTGCTTATTTAGCCAAATTATATTTGGAATATGATGAAACAGAATTGGATGAGCCTAGTGTTGTTAAAAGGGGAGAATTTAATTTAAATGAGCATAAAGTGGATATTGAAAAGAGGGAATTGGGGAAAGCTGTTTTGGCTTTAGCTAATCCGTTGGAGGCTGGAGAAAAGGTTTTTTAAAAAAATTTTTTGGGGGGAATTGTCCGCAAAGTTTGTCCGCAAATTATTTTTTGGTGGGTAGGATTATTTTAAGAGGTTCTATCTTGGAATTTCTTTGAGCAAATAAAAGTTCTATACTTTCCCTATGAATTGCTGACTTATGTCCGCAAAAATATTTCTTGTCCGCAAAATTTTTTTTTGTCCGCAAAAATATTTAAATTGCGGACAGACTGATTTATTCTAATTGAAAATAATTTTTATATATTTTGGGGGTACCTACATTTTATACAGGGGCGATTGATAAATTTTAATTTAATTTCTCAAAAAAATTTAATTTAAAGCTGGGCTTCGATTTACTCTTCAAACTTGTCCGAAGCAGTTCAGAACGTGTTTCAGCTTCACTACAATTTAAAGCTTTTGTTAATTCTTCTTCTGTAGAAGACTTCCCTAAAGATAATTTTTGGAAGGCAGAAGTTTTATTAATTAAAGAGGCCGATCTTCAATTAGATGGGGGCTCTCGTCCCCCAATAGTCCATTTTAGTAGAGGGAATTTTGCGCCTAAAGATGAATTTGATATTGGACCGCAATTGATCCATGCTTATACTTTAACTAATAAAGGGCCTTTTTATGCAAGAAATGTTACTTTAAAGGTGATTTTTTGTGAAAATTTTTAATAATTTCGAAAAATATTTTTTGTGGTTAAGTTGGTAAGTTTTGGATTTTCACTAGAAAGGGGTTGAAGGTTCGAGTCCTTTTGTTGGAAAACAATTTTATTTTTCACGAAATAAAGTTTCTTTTTATTTTTAAAAAATTAAAAAAAATTTTACAAAGTCAGAAAATTTTTTCTGGAGGGTTTAAAAATTTTTTAAAAATTTATTATTCTAAGGCCAAAAAATTAAAAATATTTTAATTGGGGAAGGGTTAAAGGTTCGAGTCCTTTTTCTGGAAAACAATTTTATTTTTTACGAAAAAAGTTTTTTTAATTAAAAAAATTTTTTAAGGTTAATAAAATTCTTCAAAAATTTTTCTAAGGCCAAAAAATAAAAAAAATCATTTTTTCAGATTGATTGGCCTTTACGTTTAGACACCTCATCACCCAATTCTGACTGGCTACTTTATATATTAGAAGAACCCCTAATTCGGCATAATGGCCAATTTAGACGTTGTCCTATAATAAACACTCACTTACCCTCCTCTAAATTAATTAATCCATTAAATATTTACAATGACGCAACCCTAAAATTGGATTATTATTTGTCCAAATCCCCCTATCGACAACGAAAACCTCGAAATTTAATTTTAATTAATTCAACAAAAGAAGGGGAGGAAAATTTAAAATTAATTAGACAAGGATCTATTCTTCAATTAAATAGCCCTTTATGGCCAAAATGGATTAATGAAGAGTCTGGTGAAAGAGTTAAAGTTGTTGATATTGTAAGGGGGTTTTTATATTTTTTAATTAAAGATTGGGTTACTTCAACCAGAATCAGAGGGTTCTTATTTTTTATTCTGATTAGAAAATTCTGATTTAAATTCTGATCTTAAAAATTCTGGTTTTTTGTTCTGGTCTAAAAATTCTGATCTAAAATCCTGATTTTTATTCTGATCTTTAGAATTCTGACTTTGTGTTCTGGTCTAAAATTCCGATTTTTTGTTCTGCTCCCAGAAATTCTGATTTTCTTATTCTGATACTAAAAATTCTGGTTTTTATTCGGATCTTAAAAATTCTTATTTTCTTATTCTGATCATAAAAATTCTGGTTTTGAGTTCTTGCCTAGGAATTCTGATTTTAATTCTGCTCCCAAAAACTCTGGTTTTAATTCTGAGCTAAAAATTCTGATTTTTTATTCTGATTAAAAAATTTTCTAATTTTTCAGATCAGAAGATTCTGATTTTTTTCTGATCTTAAGAATTATGATTTTTATTCTATACTTTAAAAAAATTATTTTCAGAACTGTAAAGACAACAGTGCCCTTTGTGTTCAATTAACTTGTCATTTTGACTATATTGGAAGTAATGATTCTGCTTTAATTGAAATTAGAGCTCGTTTATGGAATTGGACATTTTCTGCTGAAGATTACCGTCAATTTGATTATATAGCTATAACCTCTGAAGGTTTTATTGAATTGGACCCGTCACAAGGAATTTTGGAAGAAAAAAGTAAATATTTAATTCTGATTTTTATGTATTCTGATCCGAAAATTCTGATTTTCTGGACCAAAAATTGAGATTTTTAGTTCTGTTCTGAAATTCTGATTTGAAAATTCCGATTTTCTGACCCAAAGATTCTGATTTTTTATTCTGATCCGAAAATTCTGATTTTTTAGTTCTGATCCAAAAAATTCTGATTTTGATTCTGATCCAAAAATTCTGATTTTTTATTCTGTTCTGAAATTCTAGTTTTTAAAGTTCCGATTTGAATATTCTGATTTTCTGATCCAAAGATTCTGAATTTTATTCTGATCCTAAAAATTGTGATTTTCGAGTTCTAATGTGAAAATTCTGATTTTAATTCTGACTCGAAAATTCTGATTTTTTATTGTTCTGAAATTCCGATTTCTAAAGTTCTGATTTTGCTTCTGATCCGAAAATTCAAATTTTATTCTGATCCTAAAAATTGTGATTTTTGAGTTCTGATTTGAATATTCGATTTTTAATTCTGACTGTTCTGTTATCCTAAAACTCCCCCATTTTTTCCAATTTTTTAAGGTAACAATTTTGCCAGAATTACAACTAGAGCATATCCAGACAGACCCCAACAAGAGGATCACATAAATTTGTGGATATTATTATTGTCTATATTAATTGGTTTTGGATTACTTGGAATATTAATTTTGTGTTGTTGGCATTTTGGATTTTTTAATAGAAAAAGGCCACAATTAGAATTACATCAAGCACATTATGCTAGAGAAAGGGAAGAAATGGAAGAAAGTTTTGGGGGTTTATAAAAATATGGAGAGATTTTGTGGGAGAAGGAAATGGAAGAAAAATTTTAAATTTTTAATGGAGGGATCTCACAGAAGAAGAAAAAAAACAACGCAAAATAAATAAAAAAATATTTTTTAAAGATTATTTAGGTTGTGAATTAAATAATTACGTTTAACCTCATTATAAGTAAGATGGCCCGTTGAGACTTACAAATTTTCCAAATTTTTAAGGGGCATTTTGAATAGAAGATTTTTGCTTTTGTTGCCCTTACCCCTGGGTCTCCACCTCACTCAGAAGATCATTTCCAAGCAGGGGTTGATTCCTTCTTAACTATTCTGTTAATGGACCGACCTAACGGTACTTTATGGATATGTCACCCCCCTCCTATTTTGAGTCTCGGAGTTTTCCTCATACGTAGAAAATGGTCAGAGATTATTTTCTTCTCCATGCCAATCATTTTTTTCTTCAAGCAAAATAAGTGAAATGTGGCAAATCTGGTAATGAAATGAGTGAAAAAATGTAAGTAAAAAATTCAAAAATATGTGAAAAGGCAAAATAAACAAGCAAAATACTTGAAGAGGAAAAAAATGATTGGCTGGGCAAGAAAATAATCTCTGACCATTTTCTACGTATAAGGAAAACTCAGACTCAAAATAAGAGGGGGGTGGCATATCCATAACCTAACTTTAAAAAACGAATCCTAAATTACAATTTACTTAATGGGGTAGCTTATAGTGAGGTTTATATAAAAATGAGATTTTGATTATACTAGCAATCAGGGACGGACACAAGAGAAAACGCAACACAGGAACAAAAATCAACGCAAAACTCATTGCGACTGTCCCTACCCTAATAATTTAATGTTCCTTACAAATTAATGTGCGCAAAAATTTTTATTTTTTAATTTTTTTCCAGTTTTCAAACCCCCATTTTTGTTAATGGCGTTTTACTTGAGAAACTTTTTATTTTTGCGCACACCCTACTTAAATTTCCTTTAATTTTTTCATTTTCTTTTCTGCTAGAAATTGTTTTTAAAAAGCCATCGTTGTGAATGTTTCTTGCTCATTTTATATTTAATTTTTTTTTTTTACAATTTTCCCTAATTTTTATATAGCTTCTTTCGCTTAAATTATTAATTTTAAATTCGCTTAAAATGCTTGTTATTTAAATATATAAATTTAATTAATTTATTTATATTGTATTATTATTGGATTTTTAAAATTAAGTTTTTTGAAAAAAAAGATCCCAGGTATTTTGAAAATTATTGTGTAGGTATTCGGCGCAAATGTCGGCAGCACAAATGTCGCAAACGCACTTAAAATACTCCACATTTTTTGTTATTACAGAATTTTTTTCAAATCCACTGACGAAAAGTCAGTTGACGGAAATTCTATTGACGAAAAGTCGTGTCACCTGTATTTATTTTTCTTTTAGATATTTTGAAATTTTTAATTCGCTGACTTTTTAAATTAAATTTGAATACTGACAATTTTGGCATAATGTCTATTTATTTTATAGATAATATAGAAGACATAGAAAGGAACTTGACGGTTTTTGTCTTCGTTTTTCAAATTTTTGTTTTCATTATTTTTTTATTTTTCTAGTTTTTTAGAAATTTAAAAATCATTAAATCATGATATTGCCTGCGTCATAATTCTACTAGTTCCTATGATAAAATGAGATGGAAATGTTAATTTCTACGTTTGCTGGTGACAAATTCTGGTTCCTAAATGATTAACTGTTTCGGCTTGTTGCGAGGTTTTCTTTTTAATTCTTGGGGTTTTAGAATACTTTTCGTAGGGTTTTGCCCTCAACCCTCTTGGAAATGTATTAGGGACGGGCTGGTTTTCACGGCATTTTTTTCTTCTTCTAAATATTACACACCCATGTAAATGTAGACAGGATTAATTTTCAAATTAGGTTATAAAAACGTTTCTGTCTTAGGGCAACCATTTATATAAATGTGTGCTTGTTCGAAAAAATGCCCTTCTCTACATTTCTGCAAAGAATGAAACATTGGTGTAATAAAGTTATCTGGGAAAAACGTTCGGGGGATATTTAAGCGTCCATAAACGTTATCAGCGCTTTAACTCGATCACCCAAAACTTTTTCGGGACAATTCCTGCACGCCAAAACGTTACTAATCCATATTTCTTATTTTGAATAGTCTCAATTGATTCCTTGTTCGTTGTGTTCTAAAAATTGCCTGACTGCTAAAATTAAAGAAAAAATTGAACTTTGGATGGTTTTTAGTAGGGTAGCATCCCGAGCCTTCGTGATCGGGGTTTGTTGGGGTAGGGCCTTCGGTTGTTCGGGTCGGGGGTTTTGCCCAAAAAATCGTCGGGGTTTCAGGGGTCGGATGCTACCCTAGTTTTTAGAAACAAAAACCCCATTTTTAATCATTGCGATAAAGTTGGCGAAAAAAGAAACCCGCGACAAAGCGTCCTGCCCTAACAAAAATGAAATAGTATGGGGATTAGAGAAAGAAAGAAAAACTATTCTTTTGTTTAAATTCAAAAATGGCGTCCTTTACTTCTTCATGTTTTCGATTATCTCTGTTTCATTCCTTAAATTTTTTGCAGTCTCTCACCCGATTTTTTAAATTAATTTGTTTTTTTCAGATACAAAACAAGGCTGTAGTTTAGTATATGCCCACCGAGATCGAAACTCAAGTTATATACCATTCGATTCGTCTCGCCGAGCTGAGTTCAAATATGCAAGAATTTTCTGCCGGAGACGAAAACTCGCAGAGATACAGGCTCCCGAAAATCGAAAAACCATAGGGGGGACCAAGCACTATTTTGGGGTGAAAAATTCGAATATGCAAATGACAGCTCATTCGAAAGAGCTCCTCGAGCTGAGTCGAATGACATCAAAATCAACAAAATCCGACTTGATTGGACAAAGTTGTGCTCTTTTATTTTAGCTCCTTACCTATGGCATCTGTGGAGATTTTTGCTGCTACGGAGGCCCCAAATATGTCCAGAGCAAGGGAGATAGGAATAGGTTTATGTTACGAGCCCAGACCCAGCGCCCGTAGACTCCCCGCGAGGCGCGTGCCGCAAAACCCCGCGCGAAGCGCGGGGTTTTGCACAAGCGCCTCGCCGACGACCCATAGGTTTAGGTTTTTTTGTTTTTTGTATCATAACTGTGTCTAATCTTGTTCAAACACGGTGATTTTGGTGTCATTTGACTCAGCTCGTCGAGCTCTTTCAAATGAGGTATTATTTGTATAAAAAATTTTTTATTCCAAAAATCGCCCCTTTGGATCTTAGATTTTTAGAGGTCTATATCTCGGTCCAATCAAGTCGGATTTTGTTGATTTTGGTGTCATTCGACTCAGCTCGAGGAGCTCTTTCGAATGAGCTGTCATTTGCATATTCGAATTTTTCACCCCAAAATAGTGCTTGGTCCCCCCTATGGTTTTTCGATTTTCGGGGGCCTGTATCTCTGCGAGTTTTCGTCTCCGGCAGAAAATTCCTGCATATTTGAACTCAGCTCGGTGAGAGGAATCGAATGGTATATATAACGATTTTCGATCTCGGTGGGCATTTACTAAACCGACCCCCAAAACAAAAAATTTTGCTATGATGCTTCAATTCCTTTATTACAAATTCCACTCTTTTGATTGAGCTATTACAAGAAGAATTATGGCAATGGTTTCCAAATTGAGTGAATAATGGATGTTCCAACAAGGTTTAGTTTAAAATTTGGGGTTTGGTTTTCCGAAAATTTTGTTTTCGATTTTTAATGAGTAAATGGATATGGACGTATGAGGAGTCATTCGACTCAGTCGACGAGCTCTTTCGATTGAGCTATTACAAATTCCGATTTTTCACCCAAACATGAACTTGTATGGTTTTTTACCCTATGGTTTTTAGATTTTCAATCGAGCATATCTCTGTCCATAGGTATCGGATCAACTTCTCCCACCCCTAGATCGACTCATCAGCTCTTCGATTGATTCGAATGACACCTCACACGTTCATATCCGTCCACGCATTCTGACCAGACAGATCTGCTATTATAGCGAATTAGCGGTATCTATAAGTTTGTAACCCTCATCATCGTATCAGGTTATTTGCTATTCATTTCAAATTCGGTTCAAGCATTTACCTCTTTCTGATACTGATGCTAGGTCCGTAGGTGACTCTAGGGGCAATCCAGGAGAATTGGGGTTTTTTTCGCAGGGACACAAATTCTATGGATTGCCATTCTAGGTCCGCAGATAAAGATTTTCTGGGGAATCGTTTAAATTTTTTGAGTTTGTTTTCTAAAATTATTTTTAATTTTTTTACTTTTCACTTTAGGTAGAGGTGTGAGAAACACTTTAATTGCTCCTTACTGTAATTGCGCAACCTCAAATGCTGTCCGTGCTGCTGTTGGTGGTATTTTTGCAAGTTTAATTTTAAATTTTTGGGTTATTATTAACTAACATGGGAACATTGTTTACTGTGAATTTGGGTAAAATTCCGTCATATCACCCGGAAACCGATTCAGACAAATGATATGTCATTCGAAAGATCTCGCCGAGCTGAGTCGAACGGCACCAAAATTAGCTGGGGGACTCACTTATGGGCCGAGATATAGGTCCTCGAAAATCGAAAAACCAAAGGGGGGAATAAGCACAATTTTGGGGTGAAAAATTCGAATCTGCAAATAATAGCTCATTCAAAAGATCTCGTCGAGCTGAGTCGAATGACACCAAAATCAACGAAAACTTACTTATTTTGACAAAGTTATGACAGTTTGTTTAGCTCCGTACCTATGGTCTCCGTTGAAATTTTTACTGCTGCGGAGGAGGCCAGATAACCCATTACAGCGATAATTGGAATAGGATTAAGTTACGAGCCCAGAACCCAGCGACCGTAGACTCCCCGCGAGGCGCGTGCCGCAAAACTCCGCGCGAAGCGCGGAGTTTTGCACAAGCGCCTCGCCGTCGCCCCATAGGTTTACGTTAACCATTTTGAACCTGTTTATCTTGGCTCAGAATCAAGATTTCGAGCTGATTTTGGTGTCATTCGACTCAGCTCGAGGAGCTCTTTCGAATGAGCTATAATTCAAAAAATCGAATTTTTCACCCCAAAATTGTGCTTATTCCCCCCGTTGGTTTTTCGATTTTCGAGGACCTATATCTCGGCCCATAAGTGAGTCCCCCAGCTAATTTTGGTGCCGTTCGACTCAGCTTGGCGAGATCTTTCGAATGACATATCATTTGTCTGAATCGGTTTCCGGGTGATATGACGGAATTTTTCCTGAATTTGTTATATTTTTTGGTACCATTTGATAGAGGACCCCCGACTTCCTATTGCAAAATGATGTTTTATTACAAAATGGCCCCGTCAATCAATCAAAATTTATGTAATTGGGATGTTTGAGCGCAAAATTAGTTTCAAGGGAACAGACTCCGATCGGCTCGGAATATATGTTATTTAGCATATTGTGACCTATAGAAGGTATTTTTGCTGGGCCAATTCGAAAGAGCTCGTCAAGATTAGTCGTACTAGCGGGGAAGTTTAGTCGTACTACCAGCAAGATTAGTCGTACTACCAGCGAACTTTCAGGGACCGAGGTACAGACCCACCGAAATTGAATCAACTATTTTTTCTTTATATTGTTTTGCAATGGTGAGAGAACGATTTCAGCTTCAAACTACTCGACTCAAAGTCATTTTGCAAGAAAGCGGATATCATTTCGCGATAGGAAGTCAGTAGTCCTCTAACGAATGGTACCAAAATAAATATCGAATTCACACTTAAAATAAAAAAGATACCGGTAATCCTTGTTTTTACTGGCCCCTGAAAACTATCATTTAAATTATAAATAGGTTTTTCACATGCTAACAAGGGAACCTTCCGAAACGATTAAAAATTTTTAAATAGAAATTAGACCATCGTGTAGAGCATAGTCGATAGTCTATTGGTATTTTTGGCTCCTATCTCCGAATCTGATCAATGTTTCAGACTATTGGAACAGTCGAGTCTTCCCTCATTTTTATTATCTCTTGTATTCTTTTTCGGCCCTGACCCCCATTCCGATAAGTTATAGAATTCAAAGTTTTTGCTTCTGAAGCGGCGGGTCTGTCATAAAGAGATTTTTCGTTTATTAAGGAGAAAAATGAGACTCCCATGCTCCTTTTTTCCTTTCCCCTTCTTTTTCAATCGTGGTTAAAGAAAGAGAAAAAGAAGAGAGGAAAGAAAATGAAAAGACAAAACTGCCTTCTCACCTAATGTGGATTAAAAATGAAAAGAGGAGAAGGCAGTGTTGCCTTTTCCTTCTCTTTCCTCTATTCTTTTTCTCTTTCTTTAACCAATATGGGAAAAGAAGAGGAAAGGAAAAATGGAGACGCGAGTCTCATTTTTCTCCTTAATAAGAAGAAAATCTCTCTTTAATAAGGAAAATGAGGGAAGACTCAACCGTTCCAATGGTTTGAAGCTTTGAACCTTTCGAGTCGGAGCCTAAAAAGCCGAAATTTTATCCTCTACACGATTGTATAATTTTTATTTAGCCACCCGGATTCTTAAGCATTAATAGTTAGTATCTACACTAACCCAAAATAATTAAAAAAATTTCAATAAGTAGTTCCCCGCGGGTACTTTTAAAACATTTTTGCAAGTAATTTGTTTCTAGTTCAAGTCAAGCATTTCATACATAGCAGTAGCTTATTTTCTTAATCATTCAGAAAAATTGGTTTTATCAAGTTTTATTTATTTTAGTAGGTACATCGATACTGACGAAACGGTTATGCAAGCCTAATTACCACAAGGGACGGGAATTAGCTTGAGAATAGCAGTGGTTCTTTGGAGGTGTCGAAAGAGATGTCTAGTTCTTCATTCTTCAACCTTTTGAAAAACATAGGGGATCCCATAAATTCGATTTTTCTGCACTTCAATTTAGAGATCGTCCTCGGTCTGGACCAAGGCCTGGGTTTTTCCTGTTGTTCTGAATTGTTTCCTGTTGTTCTGAAATTTTTTGGGTTTTTTCCTGTACCCAGAGTCCAGGCCCAGGCATTTTTTTACCTTCCTGGGGGTTTTCCTGGACTACAGGCCCAGGATCCGGCCCAGGTCAATAAATCAAACCCAGGAACAGGCCCAGACTTTTCAAAAAAAAATTTTTTCAGATTTGATGATCTACTTGTTGGTGCTCCTTTTGAATATTTTTATGATGAAGAAGAAAATGAAAAAGGAGGGGCTGTTTATATTTATTTTTCTAAAGGAATAAAATTAAAGAAGGGGCAACAATCATCAAACAATTTAATTTTTTATTCCCCAATTATAATTAGAGGAACGACGAGACATTCACATTTTGGAGCGTCTTTAGCTTCTATTGGAAATTTAAATAATGACAAAAATGGATTTAAAGGTTTCTGATTATTTTGAATTAATATTCTGAAAAAAAGATTTTGATTTTTCGAAAAAAATTCTGGTTTGAAATTCTGGTCGTTCTGAATTTTATTCAAATTTTTAGAAGTCAGAAAATTCTGAATTTTCGAAAAAAATTCTAATTTGAAATTCTGGTCGTCCTGAAAGTTTTGATTTTAATTTTCAGAATTACCAGAATATTCCAGAACGGTCAACATCTCTGGTCAATATATCAGAATTTATTAAAGAAAAATATTTTTTAACACAGATTTTGTTGTTGGCGCCCCTTACCATTCTTCTGGTTCCGGCGCTGTTTTTGTCTTTCACGGGAATGAACGTGCACACTTTTCAACTGAACCTGCACAACAAATTTATGCCTCTAATTTACCTAATAAACCTAATTCTTTTAAATCTTTTGGATTTTCTTTGGCAAAAGGTGTTGATTTGGATGGGGATGGATATGCTGAATTGATAGGTTTTTTTGTTAAATTTATTTTTAATGGAAAAGTTGGACAGTTTGCAAAGATTGTCCGCAAAAATTAGAAAAGTTTGTAAAACATTCGTATCTTTAAAATTCTGAATTTTTCTGATTTTTTTCGAAATTTTTGGTTTAAAACGTTTTGATATCAGAATTTCACCGTAAGTTCCGGTTCCGGAAAGTTCCGGTATTTTTTTGGTTCAGGTTCCGATCAAAATATCGGTTCCGATAAAACCCTAGTTGATTTGTTTTGATTTTAATTCTGCCAATTTCAAAAGCGGAAATTTGGGCAGTAAAGTTAAAAAAAATTTTTTTTTAAGTTGGAGCACCAGAATCGAATGTTGTTATTATTTTCTTTTCAAAACCTGTATTGGAAGTTAAATTGGATCATCAATTTGAACAAAAACATGTAAAAATAAGTACTTCTAGAAGTGATTGGGGGGAGTGTGCTTTGGGACCTAGCTGGTTTGTTTAAAAAATTAAATTTTTTAAATTTAATTAGTAAAAAATAGGCAGGGAAATTTATAAAAAAAATTTTTGAAATTTTTTTTGATTAACCTCACTCTCTCCCTTCGATCATGTTTGTTGTGGTGTAGTGGGATAATTTTTGGTTTAATAGAAGAAATCATACAGAGTTCGAATCTCACTGTTGGATAAGTGTTTTATTTTAAAAAGAAGCAAGCCTATTTAATTTTAATTTGTTAAAAATTATTCAAAATTAGCAAAAAAAATTTTTTCTCTAATTTTAAGCTAAATTTAATGAGAAATTTGGACGTTTTTTTTAATTTTTAAAATTAAATTCTCTTCTTATAATTTTTAAAATTTTTTGCTTATATTTTTTTTCTCTTTTTTTCTAGTTTTTCCTTGTCAACTTCAATATTTTTATCTGATCGAAATTTGACAGCTTTAAAACAATTAAATAAATTGTTTGATTTTGGCCAATCCCCATTTTTGTGTAAACTTGAAGTTTTGCCTTTTGCTAGAGGTGTTCTTCCACGTGCTCTGTTTACTTCTAATGGGGAGACTAAAATTAGTTGGCCGTGTGGATCTAATGCTTTTACTAGAGAAGAAATTAGCCATCAAAAGTTATATATTCCGGTTAGTTATGATTTTTTTTATGTTCTGATTTTTGAAAGTGTTCTGATTTTTTCGGAATTGTTCTGATTTGAGTTTTGATTTTTAAGGTCTTCTGATTTGCAGCATGATTTTTTAGAATCATTTCAATTTGTGCTCTGATTTGTATGAAACATTCTGACTTGAATTCTGATTTTTTAGAATGTTCTGAAACAAGTTCTGATTTTTTAGAATCGTTCTGCTTTGAGTTCTGATTTTTCAGAATCGTTCTGATTTAAATTCTGATTTTTCTGAAATATTCTGATTTAATTTTCTGATTTTTCAGAATCGTTCTGATCTGACTTCTGATTTTTTAATTCCGATTCGAGTTTTGATTTTTCAGAAGAAGTTCTGATTTTTTTGAAATATTCTGATTTAAATTCCGATTTCTCTGGAATGTTCTGATTCGAGTTCTGATTTTTCAGAAATGTTCTGACTCAATTCTGATTTTTCAGAATTTTATTTAAAAATATATTCTTTTCAGAGCGGAAACGAAGACTGGACAAATCCCTTACGTTTCAACTTTTCAATTTCTCTACGCAAACCTCAATTAACAACAACAATTAATAATAACAACGTTTTATTACCAGCTATTAGTCCAGACCAAACATTTCATATTTTTGGAATTGCTTTTGATAAATTGTGTGGAGATGATAATGAATGCCACACAAATTTGGTTTTGAGTGGGGCTTTGCTTGATTTATCGTTGGATTTTTTTAAAAAATTTTTGCGGACAAATTTTTGCGGATTAATTTTGCAGAAATTTTTTTGTCCGCAAAATTTATCCGCAAAAATTTTTTGTCCGCAAAAATTTTTTCGTCCGCAAGATTTGTCCGCAAAAATTTTTTCGTCCGCAAGATTTGTCCGTAAAAATTTTTTAAAATTAATTTTTTATAGTAAACGTTCCGATGGATTATACCAAGCAAAAGTAACAGAAAAAGATGTCTTAATTCTCAGATTGCTAGTTGAAAATCGTGCAGAACGTGCTTATTTAGCCAAATTATATTTGGAATATGATGAAACAGAATTGGATGAACCTAGTGTTGTTAAAAGGGGAGAATTTAATTTAAATGAGCATAAAGTGGATATTGAAAAGAGGGAATTGGGGAAAGCTGTTTTGGCTTTGGCTAATCCTTTGGAGGCGGGAGAAAAGGTTTTTTAATGTTTGGGGGAATTGTCCGCAGAATTCGTCCGCAAATAATATTTTTTGTTGATTGTGAGTAGGATTATTTTGAGGGGTTGAGTCTTGGAATTTTTTGAGAGAATAAAACCAGAATAATTTCTCTATGAATCGCTGTCTACCAAAAGTATGCCCGCAAAAAATTTGTTTGTCCGCAAAAAAAATTTTTTCTGTCCGCAAAAAATTTTTTGTCCGCAAGAAAATTTTTTAATTGCGGACAGACTGATCTATTCTAATTGGAAATAAGTCTTATATATTGAGAGGTACCTACATTTTATACCAGGAGCGATTAATATCTTTAATTTGATTTCTAAAAATTTAAAGTTGGGCTTCGATTTACTCTTCAAACTTGTCCGAAGCAGTTCAGAACGTGTTTCAGCTTCACTACAATTTAAAGCTTTTGTTAATTCTTCTTCTGTAGAAGACTTCCCTAAAGATAATTTTTGGAAGGCAGAAGTTTTATTAATTAAAGAGGCCGATCTTCAATTAGATGGGGGCTCTCGTCCCCCAATAGTCCATTTTAGCAGAGGGAATTTTGCGCCTAAAGATGAATTTGATATTGGACCGCAATTGATCCATGCTTATACTTTGACTAATAAGGGGCCTTTTTATGCGAGAAATGTTACTTTAAAGGTGATTTTTTTGTGAAAATTTTTAAAAATTTCGAAAAATATTTTTTGTGGTTAAGTTGGTAAGTTTTGGGTTTTCACTAGAAAAGGGTTGGAGGTTCGAGTCCTTTATATGGAAAACATTTTTATTTTTCACGAAATAAAGTTTCTTTTTATTTTTAAAAAATTAAAAAAAAAAATTTACAAAGTCAGAAAATTTTTTGTGAAGGGTTTAAAAATTTTTTAAAAATTTATTTTTCTAAAATTTTAGAAAAATGTCCTATTGTAGTTAAGTTGGTAGGTTTTGGGATTTTAATTGGGGAAGGGTTAAAGGTTCGAGTCCTTTTGTTGGAAAACAATTTTATTTTTGACGGAAAAAGTTTTTCTGAATCAAAAAAAAATTTTTAAGGTTAATAAGTCTTTAAAAAAATTTTCTAAAGCCAAAGGATTAAAAAAATATTTTTTTTAATTTTTTTAGATTGACTGGCCTCTACGTTTAGCCACTGCTTCACCCAATTCTGATTGGTTACTTTATATATTAGAAGAACCCCTAATTCGACATAATGGCCAATTTAGACGTTGCCCTATAATAAACAGTCATTTACCCTCCTCTAAATTAATTAATCCTTTAAATATTTACAATGATGCAACCCTAAAATTGGATTATTATTTGTCTAAATCCCCCTATAGACAACGAAAACCTCGAAATTTAATTTTAATTAATTCAACAAAAGAAGAGCAGGAAAATTTAAAATTAATTAGACAAGGATCTATTCTTCAATTAAATAGCCCTTTATGGCCAAAATGGATTAATGAAGAATCTGGTGAAAGAGTTAAAGTTGTTGATATTGTAAGGGGTTTTTTATATTTTTTAATTAAAAATTGGGTTACTTCAACCAGAATCAGAAGGTTCTTATTTTCTATTCTGATTCGAAAATTCTGATTTAAATTCTGATCTAAAATTATGATTTTTTATTCTGCTCCTAAAAATTCTGATTTTTATTCTGATCTTAAAATTCTGTTTTTGAGGTCTGATCTAAAAATTCTGGTTTTTGTTCTGCTCCTAAAAATTCTGATTTAAATTCTGCTCCCAAAAATTCTGATTTAAATTCTGCTCCCAAAAATTCTGATTTAAATTCTGCTCACAAAAATTCTGATTTTAATTCTGATCTTAAATTCTGATTTTTATTCTGATTAAAATTTTTTTATAATTTTTCAGATCAGAAGATTCAGATTTTTTTCTGATCTTAAAAATTCTGATTTTTTTATTCTGATTATTAAAAAAATTATTTTCAGAACTGTAAGGACAACAGTGCCCGTTGTGTTCAATTAACTTGCCATTTTGACTATATTGGAAGTAATGATTCTGCTTTAATTGAAATTAGAGCTCGTTTATGGAATTGGACTTTTTCTGCTGAAGATTACCGTCAATTTGATTATATAGCTATAACCTCTGAAGGTTTTATTGAATTGGATCCGTCACAAGGAATTTTGGAAGAAAAAAGTAAATAATTCTGATTTTTTGTTCTGTTCTGAAATTCTGATTTTTCTGTTCTGACCCAAAAATTCTGATTTTCTGGTCCAAAAATTGAGATTTTTAGTTCTGTTCTGAAATTTTGATTTGAAAATTCCGATTTTCTGACCCAAAATTCTGATTTTTTATTCTGTTCTGAAATTCTGATTTTTATTCTGATTTCCAAAATTGCGATTTGAATTTTCTGATTTTTTGATCCAAAAATTCTGATGATCCGAAAATTCTGATTTTTTATTCCGTTTTGAAATTCTGATTTTAATTCTGACTCGAAAATTCTGATTTTTTACTGTTCTGAAATTCTCGTTTTGAAAGGTACGATTTGAATATTCTGATCCAAAGATTCTGAATTTTATTCTGATCCTAAAAATTGTGATTTTTGAGTTCTGGTTTGAATATTCTGATTTTTAATTCTGACTGTTTTCTGCTATCTTAAAACTCCCCCATTTTCCCAATTTTTTCAGGTAACAATTTTGCTAGAATTACAACTAGAGCATACCCCGACAGACCACAACAGGAGGATCATATAAAATTGTGGATATTATTATTGTCTATATTAATTGGTTTTGGATTACTTGGAATATTAATTTTGTGTTGTTGGCATTTTGGATTTTTTAATAGAAAAAGGCCACAATTAGAATTGCATCAAGCACATTATGCTAGAGAAAAGGAAGAAATGGAAGAAGAAAGTTTTGGGGGTTTGTAAAAATATGAAGGAATTTACTGAGAGAAGGAAATGGAAGAAAAATTTTAAATTTTTAATGGAGGGATCTCACAGAAGAAGAAAATAAGGATATACTTTAGCCGGTGGCCCACTCAGAAACGGGCCAAAATATATACCATTCGATTCGTCTCGGCGAGCTGAGTCGAATGGTACCATTCTTTTTTTGCGGAAATTCCTACGAGCCGAGATATAGGTTCTTAAAAATCGAAAAACCATAGGGGGGACCAAGCACTTTTTTGGTGTGAAAAATTCGAATATGCAAATAATAGCTCATTCGAAAGAGCTCGTCGAGCTGAGTCGATTGACACCAAAATCAACGAAATCCGACTTGAGTTGACCGAGATATAGACCTCTGAAAACTTTTAATCCAAAGGGGTGATTTTTGTAATTAAAAATTTTTTAACCATATTATAGCTCATTTGAAAGAGCTCGACAAGCTGAGTCGAATGACACCAAAATCACCGTGATTGAACAAGTTTAGACAAAGTTACAACACAAAAAACTAGCAACATAAACCTATGGGGCGTCGGCGAGGCGCTTGTGCAAAACTCCGCGCTTCGCGCGGAGTTTTGCGGCACGCGCCTCGCGGGGAGTCTACGGGCGCTGGGTCTGGGCTCGTAACATAAACCTATTCAAATTTCCCTTGCTCTGGACGTAACTGGGGCCTCCGTAGCAGCAAAAATCTCCACAGTTGCCATAGGTAAGGAGCTAAAACAAATGCTCATAACTTTGTCAAATCAAGTCGGATTTCGTTGATTTTGATGTCAATCGACTCAGCTCGACGAGCTCTTTCGAATGAGCTATTATTCGCATATTCGAATTTTTCACCCCAAAAAAGTGCTTGGTCCCCCCTATGGTTTTTCGGTTTTTAAGTACCTATATCTCGGCTCGTAGGAATTTCCGCAAAAAAAGAATGGTACCATTCGACTCAGCTCGCCGAGACGAATCGAATGGTATATATTTTGACCCGTTTCTGAGTGGGCCACCGGCTAAAGTACAGCCGAAAAAAAACAACGCAAAATAAATAAAAAAAATTTTTTTAAGAGTATTTAGGTTGTGAACTAAATAATTACGTTTAACCTCATTATAAGTAAGATGGCCCCTTGAGACTTACAAATTTTCCGAATTTTTAAGGGGCATTTTGAATAGGAGATTTGCTTTTGTTGCTCTTCCCTCTGGGCCCACCTCACTCAGAAGATCATGTCCAAGCAGGGGTTGATTCCTTCTTAACTATTCTGTTAATGGACCCAGAGAATCCTAAAAAACGAATCCTAAATTACAATTTACTTAATGGTGTATCTTATAGTGAGATTTACATAAAAATGAGATTTTGATTATACTAACAATCAGGGACGGGCATAAGAGAAAACGCAACACACGGACAAAAATCAACGCAAAACTCATTTCGCTCGTCCCTACTATAATCTCGTCCCTACCCTACTACTAATAATTTAATGTTCCTTCATGTGCGCAAAATATTTTGATTTTTTGCTAATGTTCAAACCGGCATT